TTTTTATCTAGCAACTACGATCTTGCTTGACAGCACATCAAGCGTACACGCAAGATTTAACCAATTTTGAATAATCTGTTTGGTGCTCAGTGAGATTATCTAACACCCCAAGGTGTTCATTTGGAGTCATCCACAAGAAGCCTATAGCTGACACCGGGTACGGTAATCGTATGCTGGAGGGAATGTTTCGCTCTATTCGTATTGGATACAATCATGTCTTGATTCGCGGAGACTTCAATCTTCCTATAGTCTATTTCGCTGGACACATATAAATTGAAGTTGGCAGTTCTATTGATGTTCGGTTTTTGAATCTTATTGAAGATATGAGACTATTCGAAAATGCAGAGTAAGCAACTCTCCGGAGAAATGGTCAGAATCCGTCATGCTTATGAAGAAAGGTTATTAAAGTGAAAACATTACAATACTGGTTCCTCAGAATTAAAATGATTATGACGTCAAGGCCTTCAATTTTATCAGTGAAATCGAGTTAAAACATGTTACTAACATTAGACCTTTAAATTACAAACTGTTGGATATGTCAGCTTTACAGGTCAATCAAAAATAGGTGAACCGGGAAGTCAACCCTCAACTTGATGTGGATGCTCATTGAGATTTCTTACTGCACACGATCTTATGCACCACAAGACAGTCTCACTCAGTCCCGAAAGATTACAAGCAACGTACGGTCATCAAGAATTTCACTCTTTGATTTCCCTGAAGTATAGAACACTATCATGAGGAATATAAACGAACTCGTGACAACAGCACATATAGGCAGTTCAAACGAGCAAGGAACGAGTGGACAAAGGCTATAAGCAAGGATAGATTTCAGTTTCATGTATAGCTACTCGGTAACTTTATCCCCAATCCGAAAAAATTATTCTGTCATACAGCCTCTCTTGGTCAAGTGAAAAACGGTGTTTCCCAACTGCTAGGTCCTGATGGTTCAACCGACAACGACGGTGACTCAATCGATCTTCTGGCAGAACAGTACTTCCTGACATTCCGACCGACGAATAATAACCATATGAATGAGAACTTCTCTTGCAACGCAACAGGACTCTCAGAAGTGAACACGATCGCCGACTTGGTGTACCGGAAACTGCAGCACATAAAGAATACACCTCTCCTGGCTCGGATATCGTTCATTCCAAATACTGAGGGAAGGAGCTCCAATCTTACCAACACTGCCTAACATTATGCTCTCACATTCTTTAATCCAAGGCACGAAACCAGAATATCATAAACTGGTTCACACCACACCAACTCTCAAAGAAGATCGACGCAGCGAATCTTCAAGCCACCAACCAGTAGCACTTCTCTAAGTATACTCAAAAATTGTGGAGTTTCTGATATGCGACGGTCTGCATGACTACCTACTATTCATAAATTTCTTTTTAACCCAACGGCAGCGTTTCAGAAAAGATCACTCTTGTATAGCCAACCTGCTGACCGCATTGGATAGATGGACAATCATCCTTGGTCGCAAGTGGTAGGTTGGTGTTATATACCTTGACTTCTCAAAATCTTTTGATAGGGTCAACCATATATATCTTACCACGAAGCTGAAACGGTTAGTTACAAACTCATCATTAATTGGTTTGTTTGCTTCATACCTAGAAAATAGACGTTTTAAGATTAGGGTTAACTTTAATTTTTTCAGGCTGCAGAACGTCCTGGTGGGGTTCCTTAGTATTAACTGTCAGGACATTTTCTTTTCCTAATTTTTACAAGTGACTTTCATCTGCAAGTATCTTCAGAGCCACCACGTTTCACAGACGATGTTGAACTTTGGAGGAAATTTTATCATGAAGATGGCAAGCCGATACTCTAGTAGGACCTGACTCTACTTTAAAGCAGAAAAGTTAACAACGGACTCACGTTAAACACTTTGGAGTGTAAAGGTATCCATCTGAAACATGCTGCAGTCTACAAATACAGCTTAGGCACCAAAAGTATAAATTGATCTATTAATGTTGGTACCCTGTGATCTGAAGTCTTGCACTAACCATGACAAAAGTTCCCTACGAGTAAACTTTGCATTAGTAACACTGAAGAGAGTTTCTCACTAGTTCAACGGTAGAATTCTCATCACAAACCGACATCAGCTATAAAGCCATGATGCTAATTTGTCATGTTGATGAATAAATGTCCCCTTAAAGTACAAAACTTGCGATCAATAATTTCATTGCATCACGCATAAATTATAGTCTCATCAGTCGATCTCATTTTGTGTGGAACGTTCTTATTGGCCTTCAGGTACTAAACTATTGCTGTTTGGTATGCTATTTTGTACCTGGTCTTTTTCTTTGTTGGGGCTCATTATCTGAGGCTTGTTGCAATTTATCTACTAATTTACGGAGTATTTTCCACAGGTGAAACAATTCATACTGTGTTCAGTTCTCGATTATTGTTTCTGACCGCGTACGTGTGATATTTTTACAATGTCAACGAAGTTGATACATTATTAATACTGAGACTTAATTTATTACACTGATATTTCCTGATTTAACGCTCATTCAACTTCCGTGGTTAAATAAGTAGAATTCATGAAGACGGAAGCATCAAAATTATTTGTCCTATTAATCAAAGGTTTTTGGGAGCTCGAACAAGTGAAGTCAGTTGTAATTCTGTTGACGAACTCTGCTTGTCGATAATCAATTGTTCAGTATTTCTGTTCAATAAATGGTTGCTATTTGAATTTCTGCCCATTGATATCAAACATATAGGTTCATCGTCGTGTCTCCTACCTTCCGAGTGCAAGCCGAGTGGCTGATAGGGGTCATATTTGATCTCCGACAAACGTCCACCGACTGTATCAAACTTATTTAATCACGGTAGCTTAACGTCGTAATAAGTATAAGCAAAAGTATGATAACATTTATGATCCCGTATATTAGTTAATTTCAGGAAAGCATTCTCCCTACCAATACACCTAAAAGAATACTGACATCATTCAAAACAAGACTTACGATAAATTATTAGATTTCCTTAAGTATGATGCATATCTGTTGCATTTTCTGTAGGAAAGCTCCAGTGAAAATTCCTGGATTACATACCAGTCAGTGACAACAAAAATGTAGTGTGAAGAAGTCATACACTGGATTAAAACGAAATCTAAGACACGATAAATTCAGATGAAAATGTTGACGCATATTTAGTACCGCGAAGAAATCGAACGTCCAAAAAGCATCACAAAGTGTATTCTTGGTATTATACATGATTGTGTATAACGTTAGTAATGCTAATTCGATGGGAAGAAGGATATTGTTTGAATGTCAGGTACACACATTCACTATATATTATGGTAGCGTACGAGCTAAACGGAGTAAGCACCTGTTATTTCCGAAAGAACATCATTAACGTAGATGATCTATGTCGAGTGATTGGGGGGCCTTCTGGTGTTAGACAGGAGTGGTGTGACGAACCAGCTGGGTCTCACCTCACGGCCAGCGCTCAACGTGGATCACCCTTTTCGTCGTGTCACGGTACTGTGGCTGCTTTAAAGACATTCTTACAGAAACATATTAGTAGGTACAAGGAAGAGGTTATAACCGCCACCGTATAGGCCAATCTAAGGCACGCGATTAAATGATGCGCGTTGGTTGTCTTTGACCTTGATGGGGATCAAAGGACTGGTCAATACTGAGTGACCGACTGCTAGATGACTTGGCTGGGGCCCAATGGAATTTCATTGGCCTTAAATTAGCGAAGACTGAGGGAAGTTTAACTTCCACGACTAATTTATAGACTATTATTCTGTGTATTCTTATTGCATATTTGTTAAGTTTCTAGCTTATTACAATCACATTTCTATTATTGTTAGCTGTCACTTAACCCATTGAGAATGCTGTATGATTTACTATTCATAATCTATGGAAAGTTTATTATTCACAATAATCAGTGTACTTTATTTAGTGCATTTAATTATTGGCAATCATGTAAGCGAATTATGCTCGATAAAAAGATGACACACCAGCTAACACACTAATTACGGGTAATCCACCTTACAAATAAGACAAACACTGTGAAAAGTACTAGTAGGTAAACAATTATTCTAGTGATATACCAACAGTACTGGACTATCGGTTCAAATGTGATATGTGAAAGTTTGTTTGTCAGATTGTTTATAAGCTTTGTTCAAGATGATCAGTCGTGTTATTAATATAACAAGCCACATGGAAATCACATGCATTATAAGTAACTTAAACCCTTCAGGATTTGACTACACGACCTGATATGGTGACTCGTTTTACAATACAGTCCAAAATCTTCACATCCATTTAAGGAAAGCATTACGTTTAGTGACAGTCGTGAACGGTCCCAGACTGTATTTAAAAAATTCATAAAGAAAACAAAAAATGTAATTGAAGATGTGGCGGATATTCATGGTTTGTCAACGCTATCGTTCATAACAGCATTACAATCGAGGATCCCATATACAGTCAAACCGGAAGCCAGAAATGAAGGAACTTGAAGACGCAAATAGTATGTAGTTCCTACTTCAGGAAGCGTGTGATCTAAGCTGACTAGCGCCTGAGAGGTATGTGAAGCACGGAATGCCAAGCTGTGATCCGGTGTGGGTGCGTGACTAAGCCCAGGAGCAAGTGTGTCTAATAAAACAAATGACGTCAGCTTCTATACCAAGGACTTACAAAATACCTATTTCGCTCTTTTATTTACTCCTAGGCTATAAATGTAACTACTTCTTTTTAGATTTTCTCATTAATCACATGTTGTTGATGGTAAAACAATATCTAAAATATTTATTTTATAGTTTTGCATCCTCAAGACAATATTGTCAGTAATTTATGCTGGCATGAAAACACAAAACTATTTAAGATTTACCCTAACAATCAAATAATTAGATGTAAGCGTTTTCAGTAGTTTTGAATAGTTATTTCAACGTTCCTCATCCTCTATTTCGCGCCTTGTTTAATATCTTAGTCAGTTTTCACTCGGTCATACACTTCTGAATATTTTAGCTTGTTCTGTATGATATGTGGGCTTCATTTTCCAAAAACGACGCCAACTGCAAAATTATACAAGACGAGAAATTCTCAGAAAAAAGTAAGATTTGCATACCTTTTATTTCATGCATTATAATACACACATTCTAAAAATACATACGTATACATTTAAATATATTAATAAATAAAATTGAAGCTCCGTACCTCTTAGAATTCTTGATTTTATTTGGTTTATAATGTTATCGACCAATTACGTTGGAAATGTAAGTATTTTGAGTTGACCGAAATTATTTTTTATCCATATGTGGTTTATGTGTAAACAAATCTGTTTATCATCTGTACGTTATCAGTGCTAACAAGTACAGCTCCTGTAGATTCACGAAAAGCTAATTTCTTTCCGTTCTCACCCTAAAGAATGCATTTTTATTTCGTCACGGTTTTACTCTTGTGATTTGTTGCATGCACTAATAATCTCCGAGGTAATAGCAAGAAGGTTCATAAACCACGATCTAATAAACTGAAAGTGGGTTCCCGTTTTTCTCATCGAGTAGTCAATAATTGGAACACCTTACCCGAACAAGTGGTATCAGCCCTATCAGTGAATACTTTCAAGGAGAAGCTGGACCTTCACCGGAAAGCAATGTGTCAGGATTAATACAGGTTCACCAACCTACTATCCTTATTACTGAAGACTGATTCTTATTTCGTGGTACATCTAATATGTAGTGGCTGTGTGACTGTCAGCGGTGTTGTATCAGATGAGTCTAGTACACGAGTAGTGTGTTTCATGCAAAGCAGTCAACTCTAAAGTTGTTGTTCTCCAGGTTGTTCAGTAGATGATTGGGTACATATTTATGTATAAAGTTTTTTTCGAAAAATCTTTATTTTCTTGAAATTCGGCATATTTTGGTTGATATTGTTCTGCAGCTTCATCTTTATTTAGATACGGCTTGTATGCCTTGAAAGTAATACTGGGGTTTAATATAAAGGTTTAATGTGGTGAAAATCAACGTCCACTAGTTTTGTCATCATAAAAAATCTTTTTTGTTGTCATAATCACGCTTTGCGTACGTTATCCTAGTGACCATGTCTCTCAAGCTTGGGTAAATTTTAGAGATTTTCAAAGTCGGTAGTTGTTTTTTCGTTTCACGCATATTATTTTTAAAGAACAACCTCCATGAGCCAAAAATACAGGTGTCTGGTTTTTCATCAGTCCAAGCGTATCGTAAAGACTTGGTTTTAATTGCAAATTGTGGAAGAAACGTTTGATACAGTAAGGACTTTGGGATTTTTCCATAAATATTCCAAAAGTTTTGGGATTTCTCATCATGGTTGATTCATTTTCTCCAAAGTCCAAGGGAATTTTGGGGAAATACTAAGAAGAGCCCACTAAGTCTCTTCACTGTCTTGAGAGTCTCCTTAAAATAAGTTAAAGCTAAAGGGAATCTTTAGACCAGGGAAAATTGCGGAATCTTTAGTCTACAATCACCGTGATACTTTCGCCAAGGCTGGAAGATTAGTTTCTTACACTGCTCGTTGTTTGTTTACCATCGAAATGGATGTGAAAAATCAAGAGTCTGTGAATTCAGACTTTGAGGTAGAAATATAGACGATAATCTGTTTAATTACTATCTGTTGGCTTATAACGACTTTCGGAGTCAGATCTTGGATATTGTAGCAAGTGTCTATCGGGTATCAAATGTGGATCGATATAAAATCTATTAGAATCTCCTTTTATGGTTTAAATATTTATTCATATGGAATGAAATCTGTTTTTGTTGTGTTCTTCATCAAATTTTATGGTTTATTACACAATATATTTTGTCTGAACTTCTTTAGTGATTACCATCGAATACTTTTTACCGATACTCTTATTTCTTTATATGAGATATACCTCTTGGTACCTTATGGTGACTAAAATTATTTTATGTAATAACAGTGGTTTATATTTTTCAACATTTTTCCATGTCACAATTCTTTGTCTTTTGAGCTGGCTTGATCATATCTCCCTGATTGACTGCTGGCCCTTTGAAAATGTGATTTACTATTTAGACTATTTGTAAAAAGTTTACTAGCCGAAGTAGACTTGGTGCTTATGAATTATCCATGTACATAAATTCTGATCTTGATATATTTTATCACTAAGATTTATAGGGATGTTTGCTTATAAACGACTTTTGGTTCATATAATAAAAAAAGCCCATTTAGCACCCGTTCTCTCGCTTGTTAATTATTGATGATAATATTTAATTTTATGTGTTTGAAAAAAATGCAAATAGAATAAATTGATAAATTGTCGATGTAACCTGATAAAAGCCTAATACATAGTGAGTGGTACTGGTTCATTTGTTCGCGTTTAGACTTTTTATCTTTGCCTTCAAAGCAGTTGCTTATGCAAACATATGATTTCGCCTAAAGTTACGAAAGTTATACGAACTTTTTTTACTGAGAGAATATAAAACTTCAGTAGTTTCTAATTGATATATATAGTCGTTTCTGAAGAGGAGCTGTAATAAACCAAAGTTCTTTTCTTATTTATCAGTATTGTATTTCACAGCCATTTTCTCCTACATGTCAATGGGACTGCATTCCACCATTTGTTTGATGAAGTTTTAGATAATGCTGTGGACCAAGAGATCGTCCCAGTATCTGTTAACGTTGTTTTTTCAGAAGTAAATGAAGTTTTATACTCTCATATGGAGATGCAGTCTCATGGTAGCTGGTGACCAACGATTGGTTCATATGCCATTTGTTCCTTCAGGATACTGGAGCCCATTTGCATGATTGTTTTGGAATCAGGGTTTTCTAACTCTCCTAGGTAGACTCACCGTGCCTACTAACCCAGCTAAAGCGCGAAACATTCGCTTTTTTTCCTTTTAATTTGGTAAACAACACTGGTGGAGCGAGAAGGCTTTGAGTAGGACTTCTCTGGCAGAGGCTACATACGCGTGGATATGTGAGAGCATTTTGAGAGGGAGAGTGGACTCTTCCCACTCCCGGTCGTACCAGCGCGTTTTTATATGTCCCAGCAGTGTGGCTGTATCAAGTAGCAGAAGCCCGGTAAATGCCTTGCTAAAAAGACTTTGAATATTTCTAACCATTTACTAATAAAACCTTGTGTTTAATTCTCTGTCTGCATGTATCATGAAATATTTTTGCCTGATTTAAACAACTTTTGATAGTCATGATAACGATGAGTAAATAGTATTGTTCTTTTATCAATATACTATAACAATCCATCTGAGTAAGATGATTTATTTGACAGAATGGTGGGAGGGTGAATACTTGTGGTCAATATGATTATTTGTTATATCCTGACGAGAATTATGAATGATAACTTTTGAGAGCTATTTATGGATTAATACAATACATATGTTTTTATTATATATTTGTTATGTGGCTAAACTATACATATTCATGATTTTCTTATTGTAAGCTTTATTTTGACCTATCGACTATTATTATGCGATTTACCATTCTTAAGTTACACCAAGTCTATTAATTACAGTCTCCTACGTTCACAGCCACTTTGGGCTAGATCTTGTACAAATGTTATTTTCCATTTTGTGGTACGATGTGGTCTGTTTGGTTTGTATATAAAGCCAGTGTGTTTGAAATACATGATTCATATATCAGAGGCTAAGAGTGGTATTCTGGACTCAACAAGTAGGGCTAGACAGGAAGAAGGACCGATAAGGAATCTAGACTAATCGTACGGGTTTCTGCGTCATTGGTCCGGTCGATAAATCATTGTTCTCTAATTGGCGGTAACATTGCGTTATATATTAATAAGACATAAGGCCAAAAATATGTCGGCCAGAATTGGGTCAAAAGGACTGCCCATTGCTACTCCATCAATCTGATGGTACAGAACATTGTTGAGTTTAAATTGTATGTTTTTTGTACACAAAAACAGGGGCTGTTTAAATTCATGGATTGGTAAAGGCAGGACATCTGGGTATTCACGTATGATCTCTGTCGTTTCTTCCAAGAAGATATTTGTGAAGAGCGATAAGACGTCAAATGAAATCATGAATTTGTCAGAAGCATTAAGGCCAACGTATGAGGAACCAGGAACAAAAGAAGCTCAAGCATGCAATCGATGGTACCACACTCTATTCCAGATATATTGATGACACATTCACTGTCTGCAACAATCACAAACACTCCATTAACCTACTCAGTCTGTTTAATAAAGCACACAAAGATATAGAATTTACTATGGATTATGAAGCTGAAGATAAATTCCATTTCCTAGATATTGGAATCAGACGAACATCAGATGGTACATTACAAAGACACATTCATCGCAAAAATACATGAAGTGGGATTTATCTAAACTATAACAGCTTTTATCCTATGAGTTACAAAAAGTGTATTGTACGAAACCTTTTTGACCGCGCACGTAAAATCTGCTCAAAGGAATGATTTGAAGAAGAAGTTGCTGTAATCACTAATTGCTTACATGAAAATGCACATCCGGAGAAATTCAACCATAACTATGCAAATACAGTGGAAAAGAAAACCTGCTTCTTATACTTGCGCTCCAAAAGAGATGAAGTCACTGGAATGATCAATCACAGAATGAATTCCGCGTTGAATGTGACCTACCCAGCAGCTAAACTGACGACGTTATGGGAAACGAACTGCTCGCTCAAAAAAAACTCAAATCGACAAGTCCTCTTTTCTCAGTATCTCCAACTGCATTTACCAATTCACATGTATGTGTTATGGCACATACATTGGAAGAAATGAGAGAAGAGTACATGTTCACATTTCTGAACATGTTCCAAAAAACTTGAGGCTGCGAGGGACCAGGGCTCCCAACAGTGCAATAGCTCAGCATTTACTTGACACCGGGCATACCATCGACATTCCGCGCGCTCTTAAAATTATCAGCAGACAAATAAAAACGACTGCTCTCCGTTTTGTTGAAGCAACCGCGACAAAAAAACTTGATCCGGATTTATGTATTTAAAAAAAGACATTAGTAAACTTATTATTACCTTGGTAATCCATTTTCATTTCATTTTTATTGCTTTTTGGTTTTTGTGTTATTTTATTCATTTATTTATTTTTAAAATATTCATTTCGTGTTATATCCCTCCCTCATTACCAAATTATTAAACCAACTTTTCATTCACGCATTTCCACCCACTTACCCTCTTTAATTATGTTAACTTTTCAAACTCTGTTCAGTTATTACGTAACCTATCTTATAACTGCTTAATTCCATGAATCCTTCACTACCTCTAAAATTATCACACAATTTACGAACTCCACTCAACTATTACACCACCCATCCTGAATTGTTTCTTTAATTCTAACACCAATTAACCTCTGAGCTGTTCTTGTATAATAATAATAATAATAATAATAATAATAATAATAATAATAATTATTATTATTATTATTATTATTATTATTATTATTATGGTAAACCTTTGTCATTCCAATCATTTACATTCATTTATGTCAATTGTTTCACACTATTTCTTATCTTAATGTAAAATTCTACTACGTATTTGGTTGTAAGCAGCTGACGAGAAACCTCGAAATATTACGAATTCATACCATTCTACATCAATATTTGTTCTTGCTTTATTCAAATTCATAAAGAGAACTAATTGCAAGAAGCGGATCGCTTTCTTCAATTTGTGGGTCAAATTGGTTAACTTGCCTTGCGAAATAACATTTGAGGACATAAAACTTCGGTGTTTGGGCAGAATATTTTCAATGTATGAATACCACGTTGGATTATCGGTCGAACAAAATCTCTAGATACTGATATTCATTTATATTAACTTTGATATATTAGGATCTTAAAAAATCTTCATATAGGCAAACGCATACAAGAACACGGATTTATGGTAGAATTAAAGCAAAAACCTGTTCAGATAAAATCATGCAACAAGGAAATGTAGTCAAATCAGTGTTGTAGGTCCTTTACCCTCAAGTCAATCTAAAAAACTAGCTATGAGTGGTCCTTTGGAATCATTTTGATGCGGCAACGTCGATAAAACAGTGAAGCCTTTGACTTGTCTAACATTTTCTTCTATTTGCAATGAAATCCTTTTTCCGTCTCATCCACAGACTTCAGCTGCGTCGTGTACATCAAATTTAAAATGCTCTTTTGTCATTGTTTGGTTGCTCAATGGAAATGGCTTTTTGATTTTTTCTTCTGAGATTGAATATTCGTCACATGAGACGAATTCCAAGGTTATAGAGACCATAATGCCTGTATGGTGTAACTGAGATTCAGTGATTCTTACTAATTGTTTCCTATTCATGTCTTATGAGGGCTGATCAGATGAATATGCTGTAAGCCCGATTATATATTGAAATGCCATGTTTAAAAATTCTAGAGTTGGGTTCGAATAGTTTTCTAGAAATACATGCTGTAGTGCTTCGACTGAATGTAAAAACGCGCGAACTTCGATACTCTTAATCAGCTTTTTCTATCATTACTTGTAATCATAACACTTTCGTATGGACCGAAATATTTATCATATGGTGCATTCCTATGATCTCTCACTGAATCTGACTTGATGATCAACCAATTTTAAAATTTTGATTCATTTATAATCACTTAAAGACGTTTTATATGTGACTACATCTATCGAATCCATTGTGACTTCTACTTACCCAAAACAGTGGATGTTTTAATCTCATAGTCATTTTTGTTGCGTAGGATTTCACGATTTTATGAATGAATTTTAATTGTTAAAATGAAATAATAGAATGGTAATCGAAAGTTAATATGCAGTGATATGTTGTGTTCGATTGATCACGAGACGAAATCGTCACTATAAGCCCCTAATAAACTGATATCAGAAAACAAGATCACTACCAAGAAGAATACGTTTTTTCTAACAAAATGATGTTAATTAATTGACACAGAAAGCCAATCAGAAGTAAAAAAATGTCAATCGATGACAATCTGACGTGACGCAAAGGTCAAATGCATTTCACTGAATCGATTTCCTAAGGATAGAGTAGTATATGTATGAATGAGTATTTATGCATTTTATCCGGTAGTCCAATACACTTTCTCGCTTAAGTAATCAGTTCGAGGGGAGTGGCTGTTGCGTAGCATACAGTGTATCAGTATCATATTTCAGACACCGCACATCACAACATTAATAACGTAAAGTAAACATGATATTTTACTGCTGACGATTAGAGAAAACCAGTTTTGTAGGTCACTAACTCTGCAATCAGCTAAGACCTAGTTGTTAGACCCAGTTTATGGGCATCCGGTCAGTTCTGCTTATATGTATTTTCTCTCAACTTAATAAAATATATTTATCATATATTTATCAATATGGGAGTTCAATATAGTAACGTAAAAGAAGATTTATTCCCGTAAATCTTACTCTATCACACCTTTCCCTCCTTATGATACTTGGAATGCGTAAACGTTCACACTGACGTTTTCTGAAACCTGGAATTATGAATCTGAATCTTCAACTCTGAAATAATTTTACCTATTTTGTTAGCACATTTTCCATACACCACCAAAAGTCATTTCAGATGTATGTAAATAAAAATGTATACTACAGTCTGTTTAACTTGTTTGGACCAAAAATACTGAACAAATATATGCTTTGTCTTGTCTGCAAATTGTCTCATGATTTAATCCTAAATATTTCATGTGCTGAGCTCATCTTTATTAGAACGGGAAAATAGGTTAACTATATTCATTGTCTACATGGCTTTGAAATCGATCTTAAAAAAATTCATGTTTAGTATCAATATATAATTTCAAATATTTATGTATTTATATTACTTCACTTACTATTGTCTGACCGTTTGTGTCTAACCATTTTGATCATTGTTATTGAATTTTGCTGAACCAATAACCGCTTTAAGTCTTCGGTTTTCATGTTCGAAACTTCGTGGAAAAATTAAAAATGCATCGCTTTTACCTAAAATTTCAAGTAAAAATGCATGCTTCAAAATTACATCCCACTTCATGTCGATGAAGATTAAAAATACAAATGATTTCATTGACACTACTTCAAGGTTAGCGTCCTGTAATTGTAGTCAAAATCTGATTGAAACGGGACTATTTTTGCAGGTATGTTAGTCGCCTCATGCAACACTAAAAAATATTGTAAATAGTCTAAATATAGTGTGAGAAATAATATCAGCCTAATTTTAAGTTAATCATAGATAAAAATTGATCTGGTTCAAAGTATGATCAGTTGACCATGTATAAAAGTACTCCATTAATGATCAGAAAGTCATCAGTAAAAGATAAATTATCAACGATTTGTTCGAAATTGTGTGAAGTTAAAAATAACTGGTTGTTTTATGGTGAAACTTGACAAGCTATTAGAAGTCATAACACTCCCTGAGCTTTATTTTATTAAATTTTTTAAAGATCGTTCAAGCCACAGTCGAGTCTTGTGGAAAATCTAAATGACTTGAAACAGTTATGTGGGATTCAACCATGGTATACATTTAATTTACCTTCTGAGTTTTATAAGACGCATTATACTCATAATTCACCGTTTGTGGTTATGATATGTGATATAATAATTAGCCCATGTAAATACAACTATCTTTAATCTATAGAGTTAGGTTTTGTTACTTTGACAATAATAACCTTTTTCTAGTTTGCAGCTCTTTGAAGAATACAAAAAAACCTACCACAATAAACAAAACTGAGGAGTTGAGTGATGTTGTGGTGAGTTTATCTGTTAATCTATGAACTTTTACCTGTTATTATCACTCACAGTGTTTTCTTCATTAATTGATTGATGTCAGTAAGACAGTTTTTAAGTGCGAATCAAACAAAAATGACTTTTTCATGGGATGAGTGCACATTTATAGCTATGATTTTGCGTATAAAAAACCCACTGTTAAGCTATACTGGAATAGTACACCTAATAAATGGTGTTACGCTACCTATGCGTTATAGGTGGGTATGGGATTAAGAAAACAACAATCCTGTAATTTTAATAATTAGATTCATGAGTCGATCTAAGCTAAACCACTACTGGAAACCTAGAAGCACTGGATGACCGTCTAGTACTAATATGGGACTCATTAGAAGTGCGCATCCACGATCTCCTGCACACAGGGACCGAATACAGGACCTTCAGTTTCGCACTCAAACATCTAACCTCGAGACCAATGAGCCGGCATCCAATGGTATCAATGTTTCTAGTAACTGGCCTAAAGATGGATTTCCTGGAGTTCTAGTGAGAAGTCGAATCCGTGTCGCGTGGAGAGAGTTATCCACTTCAGATAATCGACGAAGGGTCGACTTCAATTAGACATTGATGATGAAACAGCCTTCCAAATTTTCACTGGTGGTCTAGCTTGGATGGACTCATGAATCCAACAATTAAAATTACTACAATCCCTACAAATCCCTATTATAACAATCCTGTAATTGTTGGTTAACACCAAGTTACTATAATATATTTCTATCATTACTTTTAAGGTCCTGACAATGTGCTATATTTTAGTACTTGATTGCATATGAAAGCAATGATTGTTTGTTTAATGCTGAGCTAATTTAATTGAATGGAAGGATCGCTGTTACGTTTATCAGAGAGTAAATATAGATTGATCTACTTTAGTTAGAAAAACAGTCCTGAGATCTATTAGTATTTCTGTTTAGAAGTTTTACATATAAATAATAAGAAAGTTTCTGATGTATTTCTGCTATTTTCCTACGACAGACATTTGTCGTAAAATGCGTTTTGGTTGCTATCATCGATAAACAATAGTTTAATAAAAACTAAGCATTTGGAACCAAAACAGTCTTAAAAATGCCCATCGAAAGGAAATGAATTATTTGGACGGTTGTTTATGATCTCTAAGTTATATACAAAGTTTTTTGACTTCGCTTTCGTTCTGAATTTCAGCTCCAACTAAGCATAAATAGAGTAAAGAGAAAGATTTTAGCATAGTAGTTTGTGGTCACAGATATAACAGTAAATGATATTTAGTCTTCTCTGTAATTTCTCGGATGTTGTATCTTTTACTCGGAAAGGTGAATAAATAAATATTAACAGTTTGACAGGAAAAAATATTTTTGCAGTTAATATACTGTTTTTAGTGTTTATGTTCTTTTGTTTTTTTCTTCAGGCCAGTTTTTTGGGAAGCCCAGTCATTGATCAGTCATTAGTTGATCTTGCATTGAAAATTCCGAAATGTTTATCTGTTTCCCGGGTTCTTGTTTTATACACTGGTGGTACTATTGGAATGAAATGTGTAAATGGTTCTTATTGTTCTGTGGAAAACTTTTTTCTTTCCACTCTATACAAGATGCCTACATTTTGTGATTCAGAGTAAGATAATTTCTTTTTTTAGGAAAGCAAAACTGGTTTTACACTTTTTATCGCATTGATTTCACGTTATGAAGGATAATTAGACTGTAAAGCTTTGTGGTCGATTGTTGTCTTGATTAAAGACTAGTCAATCATACATACAGCTGATCTAGCTCAAAATCAAATTAATGGAATTTTTGTTTCAAGGTTATGATTGTGTAATGATTTTGATAAAGTTACATTCTATGTTTTGCGGTTATTTCTGATGTCTCTCCATTTGTGTACATGAAAGCCAACAATCTTTGTGCATAATATCATACAAATGCCAGACAGTTCATTTTGAACTGAAATCCCAAGAATGGTATTTTCTGAAAGGTGATTAATATATGTTCAAAATAGTTCAGTCAACCAACTTATTGAGTTATATTTTGAATACAAAACGTTTTCCACAAACTAAAAACATTGGTAACGAAGCTGTTTCTGTTCATAATTATGCAGTTAATTGTTTCTATGTGTAAGAGAAACTAAATATTTTTGCTTACTGAACCAATAATATGGAAATATCTGAAGATAATCACTTAATAAAATGTTATTATGCACCCTGATGTTTAGAGCAATAGTTATGAAGCTTAAGTCTTACCCTGACCAGCTTGCCGGTGTATTGTTCTAACAGTTGAAACCAAAACAAATAATAAAAATCACGCTTTATGTTGTCGTACAACGATTGACATCACCATCGTTACGTTAATTAACTACTTTAAGGTGGGTTGTGATTTTTAATGACTAGAGGTTGTGACTAAATACAGTATGAACAGTTTATCATGAAGTGTTTCCAGCACTTTTACCAGAGTAAGACATTTGGTTGTAACTTAGATTTTAACCCGGCTTACCCGCTTTTTTGACACAAGTGTATTTAATTTTACATTGATATTTATCATTCGATCATAAGTGTTACTCTTTTCGAAAATGTAAATGCGTTATTGTACTTTAATTTAAATTCCATTAGTACACATACCAAGACACCTGAATTATTTGACTGAAATGTTTATTGTTGAAAATGCTTTTTTAAATTCTTTAATCGTTTGCACATAGATTGTGTTATATTATGAATTTTACGTTGTCACATAATGTCTTATTATTATCAATATTGTTATTATTATTATTATTTTGCTGCTTAGATTTCAGGTTCATATAAACCAATTTAACGTTGAACACCTACATCAAAGACTATCGAAAACTAACGTTTCATCTCATACACGTTATACTCATTCAAAATTTTCAAAACGTGAATCCAGTTTAACTGAATCAGATCATATACAAACTTATGCCTTACCTATTGATAAAACTGGACATCGTATTTTATATACAATTGTAGAATATTGGCCACTACTAGATTCATCTGATTTGAGTATGAATGAATGGAAGCGTATAGCACAAGATATTTACGCATTTTATAATGAATTCGATGGATTTGTTGTATTACATGGGACGGATACACTTGCTTATACAGCGTCAGCTTTATCATTTATGTTAGAGAATTTAGATAAACCAGTTGTTTTAACCGGAGCACAATTACCGGTATTCGAATTTCGTAGTGATGGATGGAATAACTTTCTCGGTGCATTAATGATCGCTGGTGGAAAGTATGCAATTTGTGAAGTCACAGTGTTATTTCATGATAAAGTAGGTTTCTTTTTTCATAAAATGATAAACATTAAAAAATTAAAATCTAGGTATTCTACTGGTTTATATTACGATTATTGACCAATCAATGTGAGACCACCATTGAAAATCTGAAAGCACTGGATGGTCGTTTCGTCCTAGTGTGGGACTCCTCAGAAGCTGTGCCCATAAAAACAATGAAATAGGAAGGTATCATTCTTTATGGAGTCATCAAACGATTTGACTGAATCCTATAATTTATACATATATTTATTTGCATTAAGGAAACAGATGTAAACCTGACGTCCGTGGTCAGTGTTGTCCATTTAACTATTAGGTTATTTATCTATTGTGTCACGATTAACAGTTATCGCAATAATTATCATGTGATGTTAATTATGGATTGATATATTTAGCTACTGTAATGTAATTTCGAAGATTATCTACTTAATCACAAGAACCAAAGTAATTGAAACACTAGTACTGTTATTATCAACAACACAACCATTTTTTGAAAAATCACTCGTTGCATAATTTCTTAAAATAATTTAAGTAATTAATTGTGTCGGTATTTCATGTAGTAGATATTCAACACCGATTTCATATATCTATCTTGGTATCTTGGTTTCCTGACTATGTGTCTTGGTACTCTATGAGCTTACAAAGTGTTTAGATTTTCCATTGTGGCTAGCAGTGGAATACTGAATACATGTTTCACAACATTACAATTCACAACAAATATTTCAATCTATACGTATTGGTTGTTTGAATCTTTCAATTAATATTTAGGACTGAGATTAATCAGTCTCTTTTGGCATGTGTGGATCCTGTGCGGATTGCCTGGATATTGCCGCTAGGTTGCAAGCGTTTTTAGGCAGGGATGGTGGCTAGCAGTGGAACTAAAGACACGTGTTTCCTCCTACTGCAGTACAAATCATCAATCTAAAGATTAACAAAACCAATACATATGAATTAAAATTCATCACATTGCACTAACTGGTTGCTATTTGGACTCAATGGCTAAATGGACAACGCGACAATGTTTGAAGCAAATAGTACTGGGTTCCAGTCCTAGAGTGAATATCACCCCTGGGATTCAGGTACAACTGTGGCGTATGTCGACAGACATAAGTAGTATGTAGCACCAATAGGAAGTGAGGGGCCTTGCAACAGAAAGCTAAAAGTTCGAGTTGAAGAGAACAGAACTGAAAATATGAAGGAATTGTGAACAGGAAGAGTCACATAGAATGTGAAGGACAAATGAAAGAAACTTACAAATGAAGTATTCAGTGTATGGTTTTTATATTTTATCAAGATATTCTATAATTTTATGTTGGAAATACAGTAGGATGTCCCCACCTATGTTCCCATTCACAATACATCCAGCTGACGAGTCCCAACTAGGACGAAACGCGCGTCCTGTATCCCACCATCTACCTCTTCTTAAACATATTCTAGATGAAAAGGTGGCAATTGTCCTGGTTAAGTAGCACTAATATTATATGAGATTGGTACTAGAGTCGAGTTTTAGTTTGAATATCAACACCTATTGAAGAACAGCCAACAGAAAATTCCAAAATAGGTTGAAGAACGATCGGTAATATTCACCGGTACTTGATATCCAATACCGAATCATAACTTATAGCTTTAGTATACAATGTATTTTCGACGAAATTCTAAACATTTAGAATTTTGTATTGTTTCAATTAAATGAAACTACAGACCATTATAGATCAACTCAGTAAAGAATGAACTCGGAATGTAGTCTTTAATTTACAAGCTATAAACTATTTTCATGTTAACAACATTAGCTTAGCAGTGGTTTTATTATCAGACACTTTAGCCCGGGAGATTAGATTTGCTATTATTTAATTGTAGAATCACGTGTAACAAAATGGATAATACAGGGGCAGGGAAGAACTCTAAATACTATTTAGTTCTGAGTCAAACTATTGTGTTTTTTTTTAAATTTTTTAATTAACCATTAAGAAAAAGATAAATCATCTACAAATCTGTCAATTGGACTATTATCTGACCCATAAATTCTGTTCTTCCTTACCCCTTGATTAGTACGTTAACCTCATTCGTTATTTATTCTCGAATCCATTTTTGTGATACAATCCTTTCTATCTCTCTATAGACATATATTTTCCATATAACTATATATACGAATGTACAGCTTAAGTAAATGATTTCGTCGAAAAGAAAACTTTCTTCGTTGATTTCTTATTCGATGACACTGTCGGTTATTTTAATTAACGATTAACTGTATTCAATTTGTGAAATCCTAAACTAGTTTATAGTAAATCAACATGAACTATAAAAATGATCATCTTAGGATTTTTCATATAATTTACAGCTACGTGTAGTCTAGTACTATGGAAGCCTGCTTATATTTGCTTAAATACTATGGATGGGATTATGTTTTCCAACTACAACAAAAACACAGTTTACTAGATCTCATACCTCATACACTAACAGTTGATTCCCATATGGAAATTTACTGGTTCCCAAAGAGAAAATTAGGACACTAGGAAACCCATCATTTACACTGTATTTTTTTATTGCAACCTTCATGGAATTAGATAATTTCAAATACCGGATCAAAAAACACCAAGAACAGTATTTATTTATATAACTAAAACATTTCTGACATGAAACTCTGTAATAAATTTATTATTTACTAAGAGCAATCAGTGAATAGTAAGGGACATAGTAACATATAATGAATCAAAAGATAGCTTACAATCAGTGTTATTTAAAAACTCCATGAATTAAATCTAATAAATAAACAAAGAAAATTAATTGACCCCTGAATTTTTTTCGAATTTCATAATTTTCTTTCATCGCTTAATAAAGTAAACATACTTTTAGTTGTTACGTTAATTTCATAGAATTAGCAACTATTCAGAATTATTTGCTTAATAAACTTCATTCATTGTTTAAGCCTTAGATCATGATATGAATTAAAAATTTTATAAATAATTCATGAAGCCTATTGTTAATTAATTTGATAATAACTATGGAAACATCTTATGACAGATTTTTCTGTATTGTTTTTTTCTTTTTTTTGATTTTTAATTGACTTATTTTCCTTTTAATTTAGTTATTTCGTGGCTCTAGAATAGTAAAATGTTCAAGTAATAATTTTGATGCATTTGAGTCACCAAATTATCCAGCAATTGCTGAATTAGGAACTGAAATAACCGTTAATTATGATTTAATTTTTCGAAAACCTGGATTACCTAAACCATTTTGTATTCATACAAATTTATGTCAAGATGTTGCAATACTAAATATATTTCCATTAATATCTAAAGAACATATTATTTCAATGTTATCACCTCCTATTAAAGGTATGTTTGTTTTATTTATTAAGAAAATGTACATCATTTTATTGATAATCAAATAATAATTATTCTCATTAAGAGGATTTGTGCAGATTATAATATGATTAACAATTGAAGTCACGAATCAATCCAAGCTAGACCACCATTGAAAACTGCTGAGGCCGAAACGGCCGTCCAGTGCTTCCAGGTTTTCAATGGTGGTATAGGTTAGATCAACTTGTGAATTCAACTGTTAATAATTATTCATTTATTTTAAAAATAGAACATTTTTTATAAATGACAACTTATTTAGTCAAAAATAAGTGAATTTTAGGTATAAATGCATCAATGGTTTCGTTTTTACACACTTTATTAAATGAAATGAAAGTAGGAAAAAATGGTAAATTAGATAAGTGCAATAAATGAACTTCCATATGATGGTCTAGCTTCAACTGACTCATGACTTCAACTATTGAAATTACTAAAATCTGCACAAAACCCCTTCTGAACATATTTATTTAAAAATGAAGAATATTTGAGCGAACAATTGTTTTCAATAACTTCATCATCAGGCTCTACAGTTATAAGTCCATAATTATAATATTTTACAAAGGCCAAAAATAAGGCATGTTTTAATGAGTTTGACAATGTTATGTGTTAAAAATGGTAAACGTTTGCATCTGTTACGATATATATATATATATATATATATATATATATATATATATATATATATATATATATATATATATATATATATATATATATATACTTCAAAAATTGTAATATTTGCAAATTAGAAAGGTCATTCAATAAAGGTCAGTACAAAGACCTTATATCTGAAACTTGACTTTAAAGGCGACATAGCGTGTGATATTCTAACACGTCGACTCAAAAGATCTGTCGAGAGGACGTTTCATGCCGCCAAGTTACACATAACTTTCTCGACTAAACCAGTACTCACACAACTAATCAAGGATAAGTTACCGAAGATGGGCTCCTCCATGTGTGTATACCAATTCAACTGCTCCTGTGGAGCTAGTTACATAGGCCGTACTCAGAGGGCTTTATTCTTGCGTGTTCGTGAACATGTACCAGCATGGTTGGGAAAAGGAGTCACCAAATCGATTAACAGCACCATTCTTTCTCACTTAGTAGATAGTGAACATCATATCAAAATAGAGGAAGCTTTCTCTATTTTATGTCAAGTTCCAAAATATCTACCTCAAGGAGCTAGATTACGACTGCTTTACACAGCCGAAGCCATCTGGATCAACTCCAGAAGACCTAATTTATGCATCCAGAAGAAATATATCCAGCCTCTGTGTTTACCCTGGCCTACGACTAGATCACCAAATACCTAGACTGAATATTATAAACCTCTTACCCCTTCCTTCCTTCATTTTTATTTATTTTCCTAATTATCATTATTTGTCATTATCTATATCTTAATCTTCATATCCATCATTCCCAATTTGTTGACCGTAATTACCTTGATAACACCCTCCTTATTACATATTATATTCACACAACAATATTATTATTATCTCAGTTGACAAAATTATTTTCAATTTTGCAATAGTACTATTACATTATCTTATTGTGACTGAACAGTTTACTGACCTTTATTGAATGACCTTTCTAATTTGCAAATATTACAATTTTTGAAGTATATATATATACATATATATATCGTAACAGATGCAAACGTTTACCATTTTTAACACATAACATTGTCAAACTCATTAAAACATGCCTTATTTTTGGCCTTTGTAAAATATTATAATTATGGACTTATAACTGTAGAGCCTGATGATGAAGTTATTGAAAACAATTGTTCGCTCAAATATTCTTCATTTTTGAATATTCTATGGGGATTTTTAAACTGCTGACATATTTATTTGTTTACTAACAATTCTTTATTCATATATGACCGACTATAAATTTAAACATTATGTCATACTGTTAAGTTTATCAGTTTGTACATATATGTGTAGATATGTGCTGAACTGCTTTTTTGTCTTGACACTTTTTCCGTATTTGTGAAATATCAAAAAAAGTTTATTCTATAAATACAAGTGGGTATTATATCCTTCTGTTACTTATATGATTTTATTTACTTTACTGATACAATACAAAAGTTTGACACTTTTTATATCGTTAATATGTAGTTTTAAATGATTACTATCAAGTCAATCAACCATGAACATTGTAGACTCTTTTACAAATGTGTTTCAGTTCACGTTGGTACATTTTGAATTGACGCAGTAAGGGAAAATTTACAAGAATTTGGAAATATGATACCAATGGTAGAGAAAAAATAAATGCAAATAATTTATTCAGATAAGAACATACAAAAACGATGAGTTGAAAGCGTCAATTAATATAACAACAGTGAACTGATATTGAGCCTAGTCATTTAAGATCTTTAGGTGTGAATTACTATTGTTTTGTGAAATTCAAGCAGGAGGTAGGTATTTTCTGGAATGGTTCGAATGTAAGCTAAATTATTTCATGAATAGATACTTAGGTTGACGTTTAAGTACCTAAGATGTCACGCTTATGATGAGATTCATCAATTTGGAGAAAAGATTCAAGTATCATGAAGTTAAGGATATTTATTTACTATATACATACATATAGGCTATTTGTTAATATTGCTCAAAGTTTAGGAGTTGTTCTTCGGACATATGGAGCTGGTAATATTCCATCTTCCCGTCAGGACCTACTGGATGCATTAAAAGAAGCTTCTGATCGTGGTATACTTATGGTGAATGTCACACAATGTTGGCGTGGTGGCGTTAAAGCAGTTTATTCAACTGGGATGGTTCTCAATGAATATGGTGTAACTCCGGGATATGTAAGTTTTATGCATAAGCACTATATCAGACCACACATAAATCGAAATGATTTCATTTAAATGTTTTCTGTAAACCTTCACTGTTAATTTAACTTGGTAGTGTGTTTGACTATTTTTATAACCCAGTCAATTTTAAATGAACTCAACCTTCATTCATTGAATTCCTAGTGTGTTTAAATGAAGGCTTCGTGAAATGAGCCCGTTTGCATCTGCTTAGTTCCCTTTTTAAAAATTATCATATTTATGTATCATGACGTTGCTATAAACCAAGAAGAACTGGAAATGGAAGTAACACGATATCATCCAGCGGATAGTTTATCTGAAACCACGATACCGGCTTGAATGCAGTATATGCTGTTCATGTAATTATGCTTGGCTTTTTGTATCTTGGAGACAATGGCTTTTTTGGCCGTATTTATGAATCACATTTTTCTTAAAATTTCCCGGTAAAAACAGGTAACCGCTAAGTGTACGAGCATTCTGATTCTTTACACAGTATTTACACGGGTTCCTTCCTGCAACAATAAGCCCGCGTAATTATTCAACTAATACACTTACCAGCAACTCATAATGGTGAGGGAAGGGTTATTTTCAAATACTTTCTTCTGAGGTACAAAAGAACGGTTAATTATTAGGATTTGATTTCCGTAAATAATAGTAATAATAATAATGGAATGAAATTCAATCCATCAGTAAATGAGTAATAACCTGAACGAGACTGGTTTCCCACTAATAATGTTCTAAATAAGATAGGTATATATATATATAGGCAGGTTACATATTAGATATGATGTTTATTTTTAACCATACTGGTGAGATAAGAATACAGTGTTAGTTAATCCTTCAAAGTTTTCACTCTTGTTTATCATAACGGTCTATATGTTATTGATATAGAAATATTCTACGATAACCTTTAATACATATGAGGTGGATGCCACTAATGCTGGCAGATGTAAATAGTATGTAGCACCAAAAGGAATTGGAATGCCTGCAAACAGACGGTTGAATCGAGAAGAACGCGAAGGGAAACAGAAAACAGTTGGAATAACAACAGAATCGGGAAAATCATGCAGCACGTACAGGACAACGAAAGGAAGATGTGCTAATAATGTTTTAAATGCACAGTTTCCATATTTTTCCAAGACACTGAGTAATTTTGTATGAAAAATTAACTTTGTTTTCCCCACCTGAATTCTCCTTCACTATATATATATATGAACAATTAACAATTATTTAGATTTTAGACATAATTCATAGTGTCAACTAATTTATTCTGTATTTCCTTATTTTATTTTTTACCATAATATTTATTGTTAATATAGGATATTACAACTGAAGCAGCACTTATCAAATTGGCCTATATATTGAGTAAAACAGAAAATAAAGATTATTCCTGTAAACGTGCAATGTTATTAAATAGTTTAAGAGGTGAAGTGACAGTTGAAGGAGAAGACTCTAGAGCAGCTAATTTATCACTATATAACATAAACTGTTTAAATCAAGATAGAAATCTTATGATATATTTCGCCAAATTATTCTCAACAGCTTCGTTAGATGATTCTGAAGGTGTTGGTTCAATGTGGGTTCAGCGTATAATACCGACACTTGCGTGTTGTGCAGCTGCATCAAATAATTTGTCATGTTTAAAAGAAATGTATCATATAATTGGCCATTTACAGGTACATCTTACTATTTAATTATTTAAAATAGAGAAAATATATTACTGGGACTATTTTCATCTCAATTATTCTTTAAAACAGAATGCCTATATATTTTTAGAAAAATTAGATAAAGTAGAGTTGGATACCAGTTTTCACTAAAATATACTCCTACTCAGACAAATCCTGTTGATTAGTAAATAAGTGAACAAATGAACGACTGACTGAGTAAAACGTTGCCGAATTTGGGATACATGTTTATCGTTGTAAGTTGACTTGACTGGATACCGAATATTTAAAGAGAATCAAAATGACGAATAGTATTAATCAGTGGTTTTCTGTATCATTACCACACCCTAATATTTACTTATTTAAACTCTTGTTATCTTTCTATCTCCTCTTCTTCTCTGTGTTCTACTATTAATCTACTTTAAATATCTAGATAAACATGATTTAATTCCAAGTAGACAGGAATTGACGGGAAGATATTCGAACTTATATATGATAACTAGAAAGTCACAGTATAATATAGTTACTTTACAAAAATTCATGGCCCAAATTATTATTTTATTCAAGAAAGATATCAAATTAGGCTTAATGCGACGAAAATCAATATTACTTTTAAAATATCCATCTTACTGAAGTTTATGTGTACAACTAACATAAGATAATTTCTTTTTTGATTGGAGATTGATGACAGTAAGTGATAAACGCAGTCTTTTGCTTTATCGTACCCAACAATATATTCACACAACCTTAAGGCAACTTGTTTTGTTTCAGGGAATCAGCTAGGAGATCACAGGAATATATAACCGAACTTACAATTGTGATATAGTCTATAGATATCCCACTCGAAACAAAAAGTTTCACTGTCTTATACAAATTAAGCAAAACTAGATATAAAACGTTTCAGGTTTCTGTTATCAGTTGAGATAAATTAAACTTACAATTAAAGATTTTTGAAAATTTTTTGACTGTAATTGTAGATAATCTCTTCAAGGTATTTTTTAACCAACATTATTAGAATTGTTCATAAGCGCCGATTATCGGTTAAATACATATGCCTACACTAAAATCTATAAAACATATGGCTGAACTTAAGAAAAAGATTCTTTTAAAATATAAATAATTCAACATTTTCAGGTATGTACGTTAAAAATGGCTTTTATTACAACAACGTATGAACTTTTGCACTCAATTTGTCAGATATTAATAACAAAATCATTGTTATCGGGCGTATTTTATATTTGTAAGAATTTCAACGACTACACGTAAATAATTCTAAACTTGCACCAAAAATCTGATTAGAATTTTTTTAAGGGTGTGATAAAATTTTTTGCAAATAAATAGAGTTACAAGGTATTGTATGGTTGTTTTCGGTCGTTAATCCTGTGTATGTTAGGAATAGGAATCATTTTATTTGAAATACGTTCAAATTGTCATAAATGTTCATTGATAAAGATCTAGTAGAAAATACAAGTTATAAATCAGTATCTCATAATAAATATTCTAACATAATATTTAACAGTATATCATTAGGTGTACTAGTAAATGAAAAGCAAACATACATAAACTTATTATTTAATTATTTTTAATGCCATTTACATTAATCTTCATTTTAACTCTCTTTGAATTATAAGTTTAATAGTTTAGTTCTTTAGCAAATGATTTAAGAATGTGGAGAGTTATTTTGCAAGAATACAAATCGGCGAATTTGTATGATTAACTGGAGGTCTTAACGATATATTCTCTCTAGAGGTTTTCGTCGGCTCATAAAATCTCCAAGGTTTTCAGCTTCTTGGTAATAAAGCGAACTATTATGAATTTTCTAGTTTCAGTTTCCATAGACCGTAGAAATTCACTTGTTTCAGCACTTATTCTTTATGTGATTGGGGTTAACATTTCATTTGCTAAAGTGTTTGTATAGTTCATTATGAAGATGACGCATAATTTTTCTTTCATAATGTGACACATCTGTAATAATCGTGATGTTGGATTTTCCTGGTTTTGTGATAACAGATATTTTACGTTTAGTTAGCTGTCTGATGGTGTGTATCACATCCTTAGTTGTGTTCTTGATGTTATAATATTGTAGTGAAAACGTTATTTAATATCAGAAGGGTTTTTGTGGATATTATAATAATTTTGATGGAGTTTCGTTCTCTAAGCTGGATGGTTTGGTCATGGAGCTTTCACCGTTCTTCTGAACAACATCATCAACACAAACTTCAGATAGAAGTGAAGCGTTCGAATTTCTTCATATGTGGTTCACAGTTTGTCCAGTAGACTTCGATGTGGATCGGTTCTTGTTGACCTCAAACTTATCATTGTTTACTTCTTTGTTTTGGTTGTATCTCCAATTGGTTTGATTTTTGTGCCTATGTTTGTGTATAATTTTCCCGATTGGTTGATAAATTAGATCGATTTTAATGTACTTGTTGACCGCTGAGTGACAAGCTTTTAAAAATCCTCTGGTTGTTTTAGAATTTCCTCCATCCGATATTTCCACACTTTTCCAGTCAAATGAGTGTCCGCAGTATTGTTATAGGCGTGGAAATGTCATGGCGTTTGACTGCTAATTGATATTTATGCAGACAAAGAGGGCACCCAGCCTCGCGAGATTCAAACCCAGGACCTATCAGTCTCACGCGCGAGCGCTTAAACTCTAGACCAATGCATTTCCTCGTTTATCAAAAAAGCCCTTGAAAGTTAATTAAGGTGAAGGTATAATTTTTGGTGAAGAAAAATGTTATATGAAACTCTTGGTGTAGATTAAGTGATTTTACTTATTTAAATTTTTATTTAATCCATTCAATCCGACTGTATTTATAATAATACATTAGTTGAAAGCTCCAACCAGTTGTCATATTTCAAAATAATAACTGATTTAACGAAGTTCTGTGTTTCTTTAATAGTAAAACTAAAGGTGAATACATTGGCGTTAGCATATGAATGATAAATAATGTCACCCCACAATGTTAGAGTTAAGACAGTGAACTATTTTTAATAAGCAGCGAATTTAAGTTCGCCAAGAAATAAAACATTTCTGTTAACATGACACGAAGGAAAATATAAAAACGGTAATGACCATAGCAACTGATCTGTTTTTGATGCGTTTAGGAGCACTCAATTTTTTAACCATAAACTGCAACAAAATTCCAATGTTGAACATTGAATGAATACTGTGGAGATCCACTCTTACTTAGTCCCGATATGTCTGTCGAACGATTTTCATTAGGTTATCTTAACACTTTTCTAAACAAGCCACTTTGCAAGAGATTAAATGAAACTAATGGTACTTTAGTATATTTTATTTGCACGTCATTTCCTTTAACAGAGGTGTTTTTGTGCACATTTATTGCTATGTAGTAAAAAGTATCATGTTTTTATGATAAATATTGATTGAAACCCTTTGGACAAAGAAGATTTACCTGTTACTAAAACAGATAAATGATAAACTTTGAAAAATTCTTAAACTGTTTCTCAATTTGTTTAAAGTCGGAAGTATGATCTTTATATTCCATAGATTTCAACTTTAACTCAAAATTAAATTAGTAAATAATTAAAACTTAACAATGAAACCGAGTTGTTCACTGGTACACGTTAAAAAGTATCGATTTCAAATTATTGATTTTCTTGTTTTCAGTTATTTGACACTGAAGGATGCACACCACTGCATAAATCAGCTTTATACGGTCATATTTCAGCGACAAAATATTTATTAGAATGTGGTGTATCAGTTCATATTGCAGATAAAAGTGGATATACCCCACTTCTTTGTGCTTTAAATAGTCTAATATTATCTTCTGAGTTAGTACAGTTACTATTAGATGTTGGTGCTGTGTTAAATTCTGAGAGTCAACTTGTCACTAAACTGGTTCATCAAGCAGTTTCAGATGGTGATATTCAAAGGTTACGCCTATATCAATTATGTGGATATTCATTTTATGTAAGTCATTTTGTTATATTATGCAGACATAATGAGCTAAAGTCTACTAATTGTTTGTTTAACAAAACGTAGAAGATTATAATGAAGGAAGAAGTCTTATTATAAACTACTTACAGGGACGTGGTATACTTAGTGTAACTTGCAATCAGGATCATGTTATGATATTTAAGCAGTCCATTATATGTTATTTCGAATTAAGCAGTTCTGTTATGATGTAAATATTCATCTATCAAATTGCTTTGGAGAATTGAAATATTTTAAGGTTTTTCTGCTCAATCAATTTGTCTTTGATGAATTCCTTAATTGAGTTTTCTTGTGTGTTTCAATAATGTGGCTGAACGATCTCATTAACTACCTTAAATTTCCATGTGTATTTTAGAGTCATTTAAGATCCTTAAACTTTCTGTGGTAAAGTGAAAAAACCTTTGTTTTTGAATATAACCAAGGCCTGATATAGATTCTTTCACTATCTTATCTTTATTTGCACACTATCTAGGAGGTTACAAGTGTTGAGAGTACTGAGGTTGGAAGAAATATAAATTTCATTACTACCAAATGTGTAAATTCATGTACTTTTAAATGATGATTTCAAAATAGGAAGATATACACTTCATAAGATCGGTCACTATTATAAGTTATTACCAAAAAGCAATTTCTAAAAATATCAAGATATTTTTACATGGCATAGACTTGTCGATCATTGCTAACCACTTAGTCAAGTACAATAGCAAGCATTTAGGGACTGGTATGAGTGACTTTCTGTTGTTGTGATAAAGTGGATATGAAGCGATAATAAGTGATTGTTGTTTATAATATACACTCTCACGAAATAAGTCGTTATACTTTATACTACTTAATATATTCTTAGTAACTGGACAACTAGCCTACAAAAGAGAAAAACCTGTTTTAATAGTTGAATTAATGAGTCAATTACTAAAATATCCACAAAGCCTCCTTCTGATAAACCTATTTTGATTTAACAATCCCCTTTATTGTTTCCACCTTAGTTATGATAAAATGTTCGTTCACATTGTTCACTATCCTACTTATCCATTTGTTTGGAAGGATATGAAGGTGAGTTTCATATTACATGGATAGTTACGCTGTTACTAAATGAGTAGAAAATGTTATATTTCATAAACTTTATTTATTATTCGTCAGCAGTACTGTGTCCATGAAGAAACCGTTTTTTTATTGTCATATTCATTATTATTACTGTTTTTTATAAAAACATATGGAATTATACTCTTGTTTTTCTATTAATAAAAGAATATGGATGAAGAAGGTCGTTCAGCTTTACATGTAGCTGTTACACATCGGCAATTGAATTCCATTAAATTTCTCATCTCACCAATATATAATGAGGAAAACCCTTACGATAAAAAGATCAGTGTAGAAGAAACAGAACTGGAATACGGTGCTGGTGTTGATCCGAAATGTCGAACAATATGGGGTACAAGTGCATTAGATGAAGCGAAACTCCGACATTTCGATGATATCGTTCAACTGCTGGAGAAGTAACAATGATCAATTCAAATTGTACATAAAAGACTATGGAAATTAAAGGCAACAGATGATGGTTCTTAAAAATACTTAAAATTTAATTTGAATATTCATTCCATAACTGGTTTTCTTTCTTACTGAATAATTCACTATTGTTGTGTTTGTTAGTTGAGTTGCTTCATTTATTGTTACATTCTATTCAAATGCTTGTTTCATTTCTTTAAAATTGCACATTATCGTTATTGTTCAGTTACTTTATTTTCTTTTTGTCCATTTTGATATTTCGACTGTTATATATTAAATAGAATCTCGATTTACCCTTTAGTCATTCAGTTTTGTTGAATGTGTCTATATTTCTTCCTTTACTACTTTAATTCGATTGTAAACAGATTGATTCACTTAAGTCAATAGATTTATTATTATTATTATTATCATGCAATATTTTAATTAAATTGAACATTTACCTGACCAAGGAATTAGTACTAATGAAAATAGAGATTACAGTATATATAGGAATCGTTTATTTTCTGTAAGGTGAGGATCTAGAAAAAAAAAGAATTGATTAACTAATTAATAACATTGAAAACAAGAATGTATTTAAGTGAAATTTACAAAATTAGCGAAAATTAAGGACGCTAAAAAAGCTTCATAATGATATCTCCCATAAAACTCAAGGAGTTTTCTTAAAACGATTGATTTTCCTCAATTCAAATTCAGATAAATTACATTTTCAGTAAAAATATTCCTTTCCACAAAGAAGATCTCCTAAGGTTTGATTATACAGTGTTCAGTAGACGTTCATTGTAATAAAAATTAACAAATAGCTCGAAAAATATTAACCCAACTTTCTTACAATAATCAAGACTTTTAAATTCATGACATGGGTGACTGATTGTTTTAACAAGAATTTAGAAAGCAAAGCTTTTTCAGTATGGTTTACAGTAAGTGTTAAGATTTTAAATGTAGTATAAATAAACAAATTTCATCAGATCAAAATATAAAAAACTGCAGTGAATTCCTCAGGTCAACAGAATAGCATAGCATAGACTGAACTACTGGATTTGAAGAAGTGATCTACGAACGACGTTAATCTAGAAAATACTATTGATCCCCACATAAATTCATATTGGGTCTATAATAACTGGACTAATTATCCAGTTAATTGTATGTAACTTTCCGCTTCTACTAGGTGTGATTGTAGAATGAAGGTGGATTATGTAATGAGCGAATCCGCAGAACACCATGTATGAGAAAATTAGAATAGGGAGGAACCAAAAAGTTGATTTGACATATTAGTAGGCACTTAAAATGCACTTATACTTTATAATAAATAAATCGATAGTAATGAGTAACAACTAAAGCGTGAAATTACAACAGTTTGACAATCGGAACTGAAAGTTGACAGAGTGGGGTTTGAAATAGTTTGCGGTGTTTCTGGAAATAAAAATATTGTTTTTTTTAATTGAACGGCATTTTTATTTTATATACTAAGATTATAATTGTTTAATGACTATACACAATGATGTTTTGTAATATTTGTCTCGAATTCTATCACGTAAATAATGTTTTACTAATCTCCAGTGTACTTAGTTACAATATGACTGACATTATTATTAAAGCATAAACTGGTAACTAGACAAACGTTTATCTGAATGCACCCAAGGTTATCACATGCCTAAGATTTGGATTTGCATAAATATATCACACATTTGACCTTTGAAATCAATTGGTTAGTTAAGTGGACTGACTCCTTTTGGTCTATAATAGAGACTATTTGTTCAATAAAATGAAACATTCTAGTAAATTTATCATACAATACATTCATATTATTGTCGAGTAATAATATACCCATTTATAATCATTATCCATTGGCGGGTAAATAAATAATTTTGTGCTTTATTCTACGGTGAGTTATTTTTAAAAAATATATAGATGATTTTATGATGTAGAATGTAATTAGATTTCACAGGAACTAAGCTTTCAATAAAATTATTCGATAATGTGACTGACAATGAATCAAATCGAATTTAAAATATGAACCATTAAGTACCAACTCGTTGATTGACACGAAAACTTAAGGTACTGAATTTTATCTCATGTAGGGTCTCATTTATGTACTGACTAAAGCTTAATTTTAGGATGAAATACCTCTTTAGTGCCTCCTGGTTTCCAGTAGTTCCCTAATCCTTATTTTAGGTAGTTTAAGTACGATAATATATGCCATATGGTAGTCAGTTGTAAAAACTTTGGTGTAAGTTATGTGACTGCAAGAGAAATTGGTAAAAATTCATAACAATACCGTGAAATATAGAAACATGATGTTTATATTTAGTGCTTCAATAATTGAACAAATTAAGCTTTAGAGGTATTACCAACATCGATGGAAGTAAAGGAAAACAGATTGAACAAAGCGGCTTGATTAGCATTGTTTTGATCATTATGAATGTTAAGTTTGGAAAAGTGGTTGAATGTACTATTCTTCGAATGCGTAAGTTATTCAAGTTTATTCCTATGGCTCAAGTTGCTCACAGGAAATATAATTGTATTTTAAAAATTATTTGGAATACGATAGGAAACTGAAAACGTTTTATAAACTGCGTACCATGAATCAGAAACAACAAGCCAAGTATGTTTCGATATTTGGTCACTCCTTCTTCCAGACAGCCAGATATAATTTTGTGAAGTTTACCCCTTTAAAGATGGTCAAATGAATATAAGAAAACTGATAAGTTGATCATCAGTGAGTTATCATTTATCAGTTGTCTCTGGTCGCGAAACTAACTTATATAACTTAGTTATACTGGTTTGGAACTATTATAGACTAAACTAACACCAAACACACTACTCAGTATCTTATTCATTTTACAAGAATAAAGCTCACTGATTAAATAGGAGTGTTTACACGTATCTTATACTAGCAGTTACAAAGTAATATTTATGATTTTAAGATTATTTTAAATGTTCCCTATAATTTCATTATTTTGAATAATCTGCTGACTACAGCTGTGAAAATCAATGTCAAAATTAGAAAGCAAATATTGCTGATCGAAAACTGAACATTTATATGACCAGAAAGCAAATAGTTCAAGAGTATATTTGTCTGAATTTCGTGACAAGATCTTAAACATGAATGTGGGTTGTTACGAGAAGAAAATAATTGAACATCAATAGAGTTAGTCAGTACTAAGACTGTAAAAAGTATTGACATTAATCACTAAGATTAGAGATTTGTTCATTGAGTGATTAATAAAATTTGTTTGTCTGTTGTCAGTAATGCTTCTATAATGTCTTTATATCCAATAGTTTAATTAAGCTTGTAAAATGTCAAAGTGATTGCATATATAACGACGTAATAACAGTAAGTAATTATCACATTCTCGTTATTAAAATAGTAATTAATACAACTTCATTATATTGTTAATATTGTAGTATCTGACTATATCTTGGTACAAATACCTGAATCTCGGCATTTGCGTACACAAGCAGAATGTTTTTATATTAAGAAATACCCGCTAAATCTAAGTCAAGTTTCCTAGCGATTATCACTCATCAATTAACATCTAACGAATTTCTTCTCAGTGTTGTAAAAACAGGTTCTGTTACCCTATTACAGATTTCGATTGGACTTTGCCAGTACTGAGAATCAGACATCTTTATATTGATTACTTTTCAGCGAGCTGTCATCAACTTTTAACTAGGTTCCTTACTATCTAACTCTTCTTAGTGAATTTAAAAAAAAACATAATTTCAAGTTTTTGCTATCAATAGGCAAACCTTAGTAATATTAAAAATCAAATTCCATGTTTTTCTTTTTAACTATTATAGATGAATTCGTTAACAAAACAGTACGTTATCGGAATAGCGGGGTAATTACTCTAATACTCAAGGGATGTTTTTTTATCAATGAACTAACAGTTGTATTTTCCATGGCCATTACTTCGAGGTAAAATTTTATGGATGGCACTTGAAAAAAAATGACAATGAATTAGGACTCTCTACTGAAATGGACTATGACCATTTTTGATAAAATTTTAGTGCTGTTGAGTAACTGAATGTTTAGTATAGATTTATTTGTAGTCAGGAGTTACCAGGAGCACTTACTGGATTTTTAATACGCTCCCAACTCAGTCAATATTTACATCTTGTAGGCATCATATTCCGTGGGTAACGGTGTATGACAAGTCATGGTTACATGTTTTAAATTTATGCATCTAATTCACCAAGAGGAAAGGTCTGCCAACCGTACTCTGACATCGAATTATTTGGGTCAATAACCATCATTCAGATAAAATTAGGTCGACACTTAAATTTTGACAATCTAAGAATGTTTTATCATTTATTAACTGGCTATTACACCAAAAGCTATGATTTTAAATGTTAGTGTCAACTTCTAGTGCAAAACGTTAGGACAGTGACAAGTAATACTTATCACTTTAGAAATGATAAAGAAAACTAGTAGACAGCTTCATATTTCTAGGAAAAAAAACTCTTGGGTTTCAGTCCCAAATATTAATAGATATTCACTTGATCACTGTAGAACTGACAGTCATTAGCATCTATTTCACGAGCCTTAAAATGCGAATTGTCTAAATGTTTCCCTTTATTAAGGGATAGCTGTAAAAGGAATAATAATAATAATATTTTTGGTAACGATACTGAACTATGTGTTCGAATCTCAGGAGTAGCACCAGCTTAATACCCAGTGTAGAAGTTTCTCACCTACAACTTCTAAAGAACATGTCACCTCTTTGACAAGTTGAGCTCACTCAACATTCTTCTGATTAGAGTAATGATCTAAACTTAGTTTGTCTGTACAACTTGTACAAATGGTTAGGCCAGTTATAAGATTTTACGTTGGATTTCTAATTACTGATATCTTACCAGGAAAAGTTCGGAAAGGATTTTAAAGTAAATTTTATTTCTGTATAATTCAATATATATATTTTTTATTTGAATATTCTATAATATTGAAATTCGAAAGCTGCAATTCTGTTTTTACGATTTGTAATATGACAATGGGTAATATCAAATATGGCTAACTTTGATTAGAAACTGGTTTACTCTAATCCGTATGATGAAAAAAATATGAACCATTTGGATCTTATAAATTCCCCATTCTGTTTTCATTCTATGAATGAAAATAATTATTAATACAAAACTATTTTAAACACCACAGTTATTCATAAATTTCTTAACATTTTGTATGTAATGAAAAGCAGGATGATTTTTTCTTCTTCTTAAAATACTTTGTTTGTTAGGGCATCGAATTCTGGAAAAACAACAATGACTGGAAAACTTACTGAATATCTACAATCTATTGGCTACAATGTTACATGTTTACAAATGGATGATTATTACTGGGTGAGAAATTTAAGTGTTACATTACCTTAATTTGTAAACCAAATAAAAATTAATTTCACTTTTCTAATTTATTCGTTTATGGCTCTTAACATACAAAACTTAGGATTAATGTAAGAGATAGGAATATACATTATTATGTAGTTGGATTTGTAAAAAATGAGTTTAGTTTCAAAAAATATTTCATTTATAAAAAGGGATCTTAACCAGAAAAGTATGGAAGATCAGTGGAATTTTTTACACATATTTTATCAAGGTTTCTTACAAATGAACACACGGAGTCGAGTCCAGGACCTTAATATTTTACATTGACCATGAAATCTCTAGACCATTGATTCAGTATCTCGTAATTTATATATTTTCCGATTTCAATCGTTATTATCAGATAATGATTAAATCAAGTTTTAGAAAATGTCACACTACTGTCAATACCAGGAAAGGTTTTCAACAAAGTGTTGCTGAACCGGATGAAAGACGCAGTAGACATTCAGCTGCGAGATCAACAGGTCGGATTCCAAAATGATCAATCACACACAGACCAAATTGCGACATTACGGATAATCGTTGAACAGTCAGTTGATTGGAACTCTCTTTTTCATAGTCAAGAGAGTTAATGTATAATGATTTTTGACAGTGTGAATAGGAGAACCATGTAGAAACCTTCTTTAACACTATGGTGTACCTAAAAAGATCGTCAACATACGAAATTCATACGACGGACTACAGTGCACAGTCGTTCATGGAGGAAAGCTGACAGACACATTTCAAATGAGGACCGGAGTCAGACAAAGCTGCTTACTTTCTCCCTTTCTTTTTCTTCTGATGGTTGACTGAATTATGATGACCTCCACATCTGAGGGAAAGCACGGAATACAAAAGACAACTTGGATGCAACTAGACGATTTGGCCCTCCTATCCCATACGCATAGACAAATGCAAGTCAAGACAAACAGTGTAGGAGCAGCTTCTGCATCGGTAGGCCTCAACATACACAAAGGAAAAAACAAGATCCTCAAACCCAGCACAGAGAACACCAAGGCAATCACACTTGGAGAAACTCTGGAAGAGGTGGAAATGTTCACGTAACTGGATAGCATCATCGATGGACGTGGAGGATTTGATGCAGACATAAAGGCGAGAATTGGTAAAATAAGAACAGCATCCCTACGATTGAATAACATTTGGAACTCAAAACAACTGTTAACCAATATCAAATTCCGAATCTTTAATATGAACACCAAGACAGTCCTACTATATGGAACTGAAACTTCGAGAACGACCACAATCATCAAGTCAAAAAGGTATAAGTATTTACAAACAATTGTCTACGCAAGATACTCAGTGTTTGCTGACCGGATACCATCAGTAACAGCCTACTGTTGGAGAGAACAAACCAGATTCCATATGAAGAGGAAATTATGAAAAGATGCTTGAGGTGGGTAGGACATAAATTGTGGAAATTATCAAGGCAAGCCCCGACTTGGGATCTCCATAATGGAATCAAAAGGGGCAGACCAATGAACACTGCGTCGGAAAATGGAGGCAAACATCAAAAGAATAAATGGCAATTCGAGACAAATGGAAAGGATTGTCCAGGACAGAGTTTGATGAAGAATCCAGGTGGGCGACATTTGTTACTTTACGAGGAGTAACAGTCGTAATTAAGTACACCTGGCTGGTGAGTCCTAAGTGTAATGGAACATATATTTTGCATTCAGTTGATACCCACCTGTTAATTCTATCGAAGCGTCCAAGTAACCCCAATTGAGATACGCGCAAAATCGAAGTTCCAAAACAACGATTTGTCTACAAAAGCGGTTCTTTATTAAATAATACACAAAATTTAGTTACAAACCTCAACTTGTGAGGTGTCTAGGCGTTTAAACGCGTCCTTCAAGAATGAAAATAGCAAAGGCTTCGATAGTCCAAAGACAGCCGATAGCTGTGTCTAAATTTGATAACAGTTTATGAACAACAGAAACTCGAACCAAGAGCAAACAATATGGAAACTGTTGCGTTTAAACAAATGCATAAAACTGTGGATAACCGTTACAGTAATTAAATTACAGTGATTATAATGATAAATACAATGATAAGTAAAATAAACGTTAAAGATATATGTGAACATTCCAGAATGTTACAGTACAACTTGAGTTACAACATAAGTGTGAAAATTGTTGGGCATACATCTGCCTACTGAATGTAAATAAGTAGTATAAAACAACATACAAAAGAGTAGAAAAGGAACATGTAGGAACAATGTAAGACAAACTTAACACCATCAATAAACAAAGATTGGGAATGTATGTACATGTATATAGTTTAGAAAACCATTTTCTATATATCGCAAATAATCTTGTTGTAGATGAGCATTTTGTTTGTTTGTAATCGTTTGAATTTTTCTATTATTGATATTGACGATTTCAACTAATAAGTCTAATTATTTTTAATTAATAGCTTCTTTCCATTTGAGGTAATAGGTACTGGGGTTGAGTTTCAGTATGAACACCAACGCTATTATACAAGTTTGAATTAAGATGACTTACAAGTCTCTGATTTCACTGCTAGCCACAGTCAGAATATATTCAACATTTAGTGTATCTTTAAAATGATGATATTACACTGAGATCTATTTAAACCCGGGTTAATTTAATTTGGTTATATATTATCTGAAGAAGTGGTTTACACTAAGTCACGAAACGTTAGAAAATCTAATTTTTCTATTCTTTACGATAATACAAATATATTATTTTTATTAACTGTAAACAATTATTTATTTTCAGCCTCATAACGATAAACGTCATATACGAGACCCTATTACAAATGAACCAAATTTCGACTGTGAGTTACATAATTCCTTAGTTTGGTTTTATATGAGAAGTTAATATCTCATTGATTCATAAAACGATTTAATTTAGTGATAGAATCTTTTACAAAAATTAAATATATGTATTAAAATAGTAGATCGAAATTCATATTATAAGAAATAAACAATATACTTACAAACTTAGAACCTATAATATTTATGAGATTATTCACTTTTGTAAAGATACTCACTCGAAAATGTCCCTTCATTGAATTAATTTTTACTTATTTATCATTAGATATTGATTTATTTGAGTTAGTTTGGGTTTAACAGACGAACTCCTTTTTATGAAAGGATACAGGTTGAAATTTAAAAAAAATTTGAGCTATATTCTGGTGTGGGTTATTTATATCCATATAAGTAGTATATAACAGTGCTCAGGCACACAATGTATTTCAGCAGAAGATCGATAAGGGAAGAATGGATACGGAACGTAATTGATATGAAAATGCGTGAACAATGAAATCTGAGACAATGGACTATTATTTGGAAAAGGAACAGTGAAGTTTGAGACGATGGATCAATATTTTGCAAATTAACTATTTACTATATGGTTCTCACATTTTAGTGAGATGCTCTGTAATTTCGTGTCAAATACGTCTAATTGTTCCCACTCGTATTAGATGACTAGAGTTAATGAAATATTATTTTCTATTATTCTGTTTTAAACACTGTCTTTGTATGTAGATGTATTTACTTTAAAAAAAAGAATATTTGTTTAGTGTTACGGAATATCAACATTAATTAGTTTAGTACGCTGTATAAGTAAGTAATTCTATTTTCACAGTCATTCATTAAATCCAGAAAGTTATCATTTTATTGATTTTATATCGATTAATAAGGGAGAAAGTCAGAAATTGGCATATTGTTACCAGTCGAATCGTTTTAAAATAACGTAGATCGTTATTAGACTAACTGAGTGTTTGAGCTGAGATCCTAATTTAAAGATAAATTAATATGTAAGTTAATCTTAATGGGAATATACAAAGGTGTAATCCATAATAATATGGAACTTTTTAAAGACTTTTTAGTATACAAGCAAAATTTTTTTGTATTTAGATCCATGCAACAAATAACAATTTCATTACCATTATTATCATCTTTGCAAAACAGAACACGGGCAAGCAGTTTCAGATTACTGTAATATATTTCATATATCATCAGTTTCTGATGAATCATTGACTTCACTTTTAATTTAAGTCATACTAAATTCGTATCTAAATAATACTATTACAGTTAAACTACAACCGATCCACTGAATGTGAAGCAATATTAATTGTATATGGCGTTTGTAATCAATCATTAGACCAGTCAAAATTAAAAAGAAACATAGAGGTATAGCGTATTATCGGTGGTTCATAAGGATTGAGGAAAGCACTAATCACACATAGTAAGGAGGGTGATAATAATTAAAAAAATACGTACAAACAGAAAATCGAGTTAATTAGCAAGTGGAGAGAACATCTCCAAGAAACAGAATATACAACAATTAGCCTGTTTGATGGTTACCATCACAGATTCAACGGTAAAAAGCTTAATATCGATTAGTTCTTTTCCTACCTAACAATAATCTTCTTTTTCAAAACAAGGAAGAGTTGTTTCAGTGCCAAACCTGTGATGTATTTTTATTCAAGGTGAATCAGCAATTAACTGGGAAGGCATAATTACTTTTATTAAATTATGGTCTGAAGCAAAGGTGTTGGAAGAAAAAATTAGAATACTTTTAATTGAAGGAATACTGATAATGAATAAAATGTAAGTTTGTAAAAATCTGAATTCAAAATGACAATTGTTTTTTATTGTATTAAATGGTGTCCGGAGTCTTCATTTATGTAGAAGTTATTTTTATCCTATGAATGACTAAAAGATTAGAAAACATACACTGACTAAAATTATTATTCTTATTGATCCTTTAGTAATAAACAGTATTATGGTTGTTTATTAAATTTTATCTACCAAGTCGCAATACGACCGCTAGCTTAAGTAACTTGAAATCGTATACATAATGTAACGATGTTACTTGGTTAGAAATAATCCATTGGAAGCCCTGAGACTACTTTCCGTAATTGTTGGAGCTCGTTAGCAAAAGACAAGTGATGCTCCCCACGAGACTCGAACTAGTATTAGCAAATCTTGCAGTCAGAGACGTTACTAATGAGCAGTTCTCACTATTCGTGGTTTAGAGGAAGTATAAACACATCTATCGTAAGTTGACCGACCTTCGACATTGAAACTTACGTTCTCCATCCATTAACTACAATTGTCAAGTGACCCCTAAGCAAGAATGCTGGAACCCTTGACACCATTCAGTCAACAGCCAATGAACTCACAAAATGATACAGTATCCTTATATATATTCGTGCAGTGTCTAAAAAACTCCCATACATTAGAAATTGTATCACAACTTTTATCTGCTTGAATACAGAGAACTTCGGAATATGATGGATTTGCGAATATTTCTGAAGATAACTTACGAGAATATGTTGCAGAGACGAAAGTAAGTTGTTTTGTTACAGATAAATTCAAACCAAAGTAATTGATTGAATAATTAAATGTCTTTTTTAACAGGCTACGGGGGCATAGATAAGATAGATGAGAAAATCCAAATATTCATTTGTTGGAATTCGTTAAATTTTAATCACTGAGATCATTCAAGTATAATTTTTATACAAAATATCGATACATTCGGCGTCCTATTTGTGTAAAACTAGAGTGAATATAAACTCCACTCTCATTCTCAATTTCGACCTTGCATCCGGCAACCGATCACACTATCGAAATATACGATGGCGGGTATGTTTTGTTCTGTCGCTTTTACCGGAGTATATAAAAAAAAGTAGTTTCCTAAGAGGGGAACACTACTCTATCATAATACAGACATGTCAAGTGGGTAACAGCCATGATGGAAGGAAAATTATAACACAGCAAAAGAAATGCCTGCAACTAGTTCTATAACAGAAATTATTCCAAAGTATCTACGACTGAGTGACTAGGTAAACAGAAACACGATCGCGATTCCTGACTAGGATATACTTATATGACTTGAAAATGCGGAGTTTATCCCCAGTCGTAAAACTATCTGTTCGAATGTCGACAAATGTTCATATAAACTCACAACATACAATTAATAATGAACAATGTACACTAATTTCTCAAAGAATTCATTGAACTTATAGTTTTCAAACAGAAAACTAGTATTTTCATAGTATTAAAACTTAAAGGTTCTTGTATCAGTCATGTTAGAGGTCATTAATGTACCCAGATGAAAAGTTTGAAACGAGAACGGAATCGATGATCAACACATCCAAACTTCCAATCGTTGTCTGATTGATCAGAGTCGTCGGTGAAAAATTACTTATGGAAGGAACTTAATACTTTCTTACCTGAAGTAGTTGGTTAATACTAAGATCTTGTAGTGGCTGGTACTATGTCAAGACCACATGGGCTATTCTAGCTTCTGGACAGACCAACATTTTTTCTTCGAAAATCGAACGTTGTACTCGTAAAACAAAGTGAAACTTTGTAAGAACTTCCAATTCATGTGACATCAAACCACCTAATTGTAATGGGAATCGCCAAAAAATAAACTGAATAGGTGTGTTTACTACGTAGAAAAAAATAACCAAATTGTTGCCAGTTTAAGCACTTACATATAAAAAACCATGAATTGGACACATACATACAGACTGTTCATCATGATTAATTATATACAGTTAAATAAATACAGAGCAACTTAAATTAATAATCAAATAGGACCTTTCTAAAGTACATCTCATATGAGTATGTTTCGCTTTTTGTGATATTAAAGCAATGATACATAAGCAGAGTATTCAATTCAAGAGATCCCTGGTCACGAGCCTAGGACTAAGAAATGCAGTCAGTGTGATACTGATCCAGAGATTATGTAGAACAATTCAGAGAGCATCCAATGCCGGGAGGCTACTAGTGTTTTTTACGCACCCTATGTTGACATCAAGCCTCTGGTATGAACTACCCAGAACGGTCAACTCGTAATGTAATTATCAATCCGTATGCTCTATTGGAGCAAGTCATGTTAGCCGAAGTTCTAGGAACATTTACATGTTCGTGAACGCCTTCCAGGGTGGTTAGACAAAGGCGTAGTCAAAATTATAAATAGCTCAAAACCGAACTATTCAATTCAAACTAGTTATAGTGTCAGCATAAATCAGTCATTTCTGACAGTTTATCGACTTGGTAGTTTCCTAACAAAGTCAGTCAGAATCTAAGTCCTCCAATGTGTCTTAAGCATTGGGCATTTGGACTAAAAACTGGGAATATATGAGTAAAGGAAATATATTTAAGCTCTTCTTCTAACTGAAGGTCAGTAAATTAACAATAAATCATATTATGTAATGACCTAACTTGACTATTTTTTATGCATTCTTCCCACTCCTAAATTTTTGTAACTTAAAACAAATCTCGTTTACATATTGTATCCATTATTTTTATCCTTATATCTTCGTACTATGATTGTTCTTGTTTGTCGTCACCATTATTAGGGTTTGACTTGATAGCTTCAAATGAATCGAGCATTCGACAGATTGTTCATAATGAGTAGGAAACGGAATTTTTGACATTTTGTGTTAGCCACTTTATTTATTAATTGAAGTGGCGTTCACTGGAGACACGGAACGTCATATATTTTCTACTGATTGAAATATTATAAATACATCATGATGATTGTTTTGGTATCACTGTTATTCACTCAAACGAAAATAATCCGGTTGAGACTCAGTCCACACTTATATTTTTTAATGAACTTAACCAAACCGACGCATGAAGTAGTTTTTCATTTAGTATTTGAACTGATTTGTGATGACATGATTATTTCTCTCACTCTAATGCCATCCGTATTTATTTGGATTATTAGGCTGTTTTAATCATCTTACATAACTTTTCAACGTTTACACTGTGTATTAGTCATTTCAGCACTAACAATTTTATTTTATTTAATAAAGAATCTTTAATTAACATACTACGATCTTAAACGACGTGCCCGTCTTAAAATTGGTCGTTTTTTCGATATAGCTGTGGGAATTGAATAGTCTATGAAAAAGAATATTCTTCGCCCATACATCACTGTTTGAATATGATAGGAATCTGCGAAGTTAAAATATCATAATATTCTTGATATTACCAGCCAACAATTCATGAATCCTTCTCAATAGTAAAATTGGCTCCTTCGATTATAACACAACTAGGGTTCTCATTAATATTAAGTATGATTTCGCACAGACTTAATTATCATACGATACGTCTGAGAATCTCGATATTTAACAACCTAAGGAGGGTTACTTACTTACGCCTGTTACTCCCAATGGAGCATAGGCCGCCGACCAGCATTCTCCAACCCACTCTGTCCTGGGCCTCCTTTTCTAATTCCATCCAATTCTTGTTCATCTTTTTCATGTCTATTTCCATTTCTCGGCGTAATGTGTTCTTCAGTCTTCCTCTTTTCCTTTGGCCTTGAGGATTCCATGTGAGGGCTTGTCTTGTGACGCAGTTGGGTGCTTTCCTCAGGTTGTGTGTCCTATCCACTTCCAGCGCTTCTTCCTGATTTCTTCCTCCGCTCGAATCTGGTTTGTTCTTTCTCACAGTTGGTTGTTGCTAATAGTGTCCGGCCAACGGATCTGAAGTATTTTGCGTAGACAACTGTTAATAAACACCTGTATCTTCTGGATGATGGCTTTCGTAGTTCTCTAGGTTTCCGCCCCATACAGTAGAACTGTCTTGACATTTGTATTGAAAATTTTGACCTTGGTGTTGGTTAACAGTTGTTTTGAGTTCCAAATGTTCCTCAGTTGTAAATATGCTGCTCTTGCTTTGCCGATTTGCGCCTTCACATCTGCATCAGATCCACCGTGTTCATGAATGATACTGCCCAGATATGTAAAGGTTTTTACATCTTCCAAATCTTTACCATCGATTGTAATTGGATTGGTGCATGCTGTGTTGTATCGGAGAACCTTGCTCTTCCCTTTGTGTATATTGAGACCTATTGCTGCTGCTACACTGGTCGTCTTCTCCTGCATTTGTTGTTGCGTTTGGGATAGAAGGGCCAGATCATCTGCGAAGTCTAGATCGTCTAACTGCATCCTAGATGTCCATTGTATCCCGTGCTTCCCTTCAGATGTTGACGTCTTCATGATCCAGTCGATCACCAGGAGAAGGAGAAAGGGTGAGAGTAAGCAACCTTGCCTGACACCGGTCTTCACTTCGAACGACTTTGTCAACTGTCCTCCATGCACGATTTTGCAATTTAATCCATCATATGAACTCTGTATGATATTGACTATCTTCTGAGGCACGCCGTAGTGTCGAAGAAGTTTCCATAGTGTTGTTCTGTCCACGCTATCAAATGCTTTTTCGTAGTCAATGGAGTTGATGTAGAGTGATGAATTCCATTCAATTGATTGTTCCACAATGATCCGTAGAGTTGTGGTTTGGTCTGTACACGATCTATCCTTACAGAATCCTGCCTGTTGGTCACGAAGTTGGGCTTCTACGCAGTCCTTCATCCTGTTTAACAATACTCTGTTGAAGACTTTTCCTGGTATTGAGAGAATAGTGATGCCTCTGTAGTTATCACAGTTGCTGAGATCGCCTTTCTTCGGTATTTTGATCAGAAGTCCTTCTTTCCAGTCTGTTGGTACTTGTTGCTCATCCCAAATCTTATTAAAGAGAATGTGGAGTATCCTTGCAGTTGCCGCTACGTCTGCTTTTAGTGCCTCTGTTGGAATGTTGTCTGGTCCTGCTGCTTTGCCACTCTTGATTTGTCTGATGGCCATGCTGATTTCTTCAATTGTTGGTGGGCCAACGTTGATCGGGTGGTCCGTGGGTGCTGCTTCGATGTTGGGTGGGTTCAGTGGAGCTGGTCGATTCAAGAGTTCTTTGAAGTGTTCTACCCACCTGTTTTGTTGCTCTTCAATGTTGGTGATTACCTCGCCTTCCTTGCTTTTCACTGGTCGTTCTGGTTTACGGCGATTTCCAGCGAGTTTATTTGTTGTGTCATACAATTGTCTCATGTTCCCTTCTCTTGCAGCCTTTTCCGCCGTCGTTGCTAAATCTTCCACATATTTACGTTTGTCGGTTCTGAGGCTCTTCTTCACTTTTTTGTTTACTTGTGTATTCAGCTTGTGCCTTGGCTTTTTCTGCTCTTGTTCGGCTGTTATTTATTGCTGCTTTCTTGAATCTTATCCAGTGTATCAACAGTGATCCATTCCTTGTGATGGTGCTTCTTGTGACCCAGGACCTCATGACATGTTGAAGTGATTGCCTCTTTGATCCCCTTCCAGTTGATCTCCACAGTAGCTCCTTCTTCATTGAGTAGATCATGAAAGGCCTGGAACTTGTTGCTGAGGACTAACTTGAATTTGTTAGTATCCTGAAGAAAGGCCTTTGATGATCCTTGGTCCATGAGATTCCCATCCTGTAAGTGCATTTTGTGCTTGTTTGGACAGCATCAGTGCAACTCCTTGTGTATGTGAGGCATTTTCTTCTTCATGACTGGAGTTTAACAGAAGCTCTCCTGAAGTTAGTCTTTGTTGTCTAACTTGCGTCCAATGTGTTTCACTGATACCAAGCACCTCCAGGTTGTATCTCCTCATTTCTGCAGCAATTTGGAGGGCTCTCCCGGTGTCCCACATTGTAAGAACATTCCATGTACCTAAATAAATGGTCGCTCTGGTTGTCAGAAGGGGAATCGGCTTCGTAACTTCCGAAGGAATTCGGCTTTCATCATGAGGTGACATAGTTCTTCTAAATGAAGACCTTTCTGACTCCCGGGGCAGAGTTTATGAGGTTTGAATAATTTTTTCTGGTTAGCGTTTTTTTAGCGAGTTAGTTTTTTACGGGATGGGGACGCTAACCCCATGCCCAACCCTCCTCCTTTATCCGAGCTTGGGACCGGCAGTAGCCCCCGGAGGGACTCCAGGCGGAGTTTAAGGAGGGTTATTGCGCCTAAATTGGAAAGCATTGTCAATAGTTATTTACAATAAATTCATGAAGTATGTCCCATCTCGTAGTGTTTTTGTTGACATGTACTTGACAATCCTGTAACTACTTGACGACTTAAGTTTTGGTTGTGTAACAGTATAGGGTCATTAAATAAATGAAATGATTGCATTTCCCTTTAGGCTAAGAAAATACAATACACCGGACCCACCAAATTATTTTGCTAAATATGTTTGGCCAACATATCTAAGAACGCTAGACATCTTGAAGTATTCAAAAGACTCTATATGTAAGTTTAAATTCATATATGTGGATTAATTCGTGCGTCTTAATAAACTTTTTTGTTTATGTGGATTTCAAGTGCGGAAACCTAAAAAGCATTTAAAGTTTGTTTTAGTATAAATAAACTTTGTGTACATCTAATCTACCTCAAGAAATATATTAGTTTCAAGCAACAAATACACAATTCCATTATCAACTGTGAACCATAAGAATATCTATTTATTTCAGAACCACATCAGTCAGTTTTATCCACAAACCATGATTTTTAATCAAGACAAAGTAGAAGCTATCATTCCAAAATTAATCATCAGTTGAAACTAAACAACCACTGGGTTCAATAAATCGATACAGTCTAATAGGGAGTTTTCCTGGATTTTTAAAAATATGTCAACTAAGAGGAATTTTTCTACACATTCCTATAGCTTTGAACTGTAGGTATCTAAATGTTAAACAAAGTAAGTGTTCTGAGAAAATTTAGCTAGATCTTATAGGTGAAATAAGATGAAGAACTTACATTTCGATATCGTTAATTTATAGCATGTCACTAGAGAGATGGCATTTGTCTGCATTATCTTTCTATAATCAATGTCTGGACACACCACGACAAAAAATGCAAACCATTGTACTGTTTTTCAGATACACTCATTTCAAGAGAATCCCTCGCTCAACTAGTCGTCCCAAAACAAATATATACCATAATTTTATACATTTTTCGTCCTGCGATGTGACGGTCATCCTCAATGTAGAACACTAGCTATATGAATTAACACCGTTGGTACTGGAATGTGATGAATGAGGACATTTGGTTACAAACTTCATCTCCTTGATGACCTGAGCTCTTATTTTTGAATACCAGAGTCACAGTCAATATCCCATAGGTACACAAGCCTTCATACACCGAAAGATTAAATTATAGTTGTTTAAATGTTAGTGGAAACATAATTTTGATCTGTACGATTATAGGGTTTAAATCAATCTTTAGTACCCTCTATCACTTATGCTTAAACATCTAAAGTGATTTTCCACTAATCTTGTTTTTTTCTTTTATTAGATTATTTTGATAGCAATAATGGAATTGAGACCCTATTTAAAGAGATTTGTCAATTTGTCAATGAAAAAATAGATCTAGAGAACGAAAGAGACAAAAATTTCGATGAATTCCCAGAATAAATTTTTACACAAGTTTATGATAAATGATAGTTTAACTACAGTGATTATTTTTTTTTTGAAATATCGACAATAAATAACATTAGGGATACATTGAAAATGATTAGACAATGAAAGAATTAACTTTAGTATGAAGTTTAAACATGAAAATAATGAAATATTTAATTTTACTATGATTAACACATAGTTGACAGCTCTAGATTGCAACCCGGGTAACTCAAATAACAACATAACTATGAAGAGCTATCTTCGTAGAGTCGAAAATTAATATTAGTCTCTGGTTGAATCATCAGAAGTAGTGAGTTAAAATAAATGTAGTTCTAGAAATACAGTCAGTCGATTTGTGCTAACACACTATCGACAGCTAATGAGATATAATACAGCAGTAATGAAATAGTGAGCAAACTTTTTCACATCAAAGGTTCGATAATGTGTACGCTTTAATCTAACAATCAGATCACACTACCCCTTATTATTGTATTGTTGATATCTCAGTAGTGGATAATTTTGCCATGGAGTGGAGAGTTTTAAGCTGATTGAATACAAGCTTTATCGTCGTGGTTAACTGTCACAGATATACTGATAAAGATGACTATACTTTATCTGGCATTGTTTCTTCACATCGTGATTTTCTGATATAGTCCTTTAAAAAGACCGTGAAGAAATGCTTGCTTTTCTAAACGCCTAAATCAGAAATGTGAGAATGTTTACAATTTTTTGGCACAAAGTAATTTATTAAGTGGTTTATACTTTTTCACCATAGTCGAGTATGACGACTTGCACTTCTCTGAGTCTCTCAGATAACTGACTTGCTTAACTCGATGACGAGATCGGCTAGTGGTTAGAGCATTCAAATTTTAGCAGCTTGGTTAAACGTCTGAACCCTTATCTACCTACTCCAGTGTTCACTGTCTACTTCTACGGTACTGTCAGGTTACCGACTTAATTTGTTAAGGTACTAAAGCAGATCAAAAGCACTTGCAAATCAAGCTGTCTGATCAGGTGCTAGCTTTGATAAATTGATTTGAGTTCTTAACTGTTGAAAAATGTGCCACTTATAATCAATTATCTAGATTAACAACAAATTGTTACAGCGTTACAAAAATCAATTCACAGAAAATGAGTTTTCAAATGCAGGATGACAGGAACTGAAATTCTGCAAGTTTTATCTATTTTTCGATAAATTTCGAAACAATATCAGTATATATTTTCTTTGCATCAGCGTGTGTAGGAATGTAATGACCACCGTCATGTACGAATACCTTTGGTTCAGATAAGAATACATTCAGTGCTTCCTCAGACATTTCTGTAAAAATACAAAGAAAGTTTAACATAAGAAACCCCTCTTATTAATTTAGATATCTAATCAATTTGCCTATCTAAACTGACGAAGTTAGATATTTAAGAATTCACAAATTACGAGCATTTACTTCAAAACTATGGTACAGTACCCTCTTTAAAACTTAAATATTGCATTAAGGGATACCTCAAATGTTTTCTCTACCATGATTATTCCTCGCTTTATTACTCCTTCCTGTTTACGTACAGGTTTACTAATAAGCGCAAGGAGAATAGAAGTAGTCGTTTATTTTATGTTAAAAGTCATTTGGAAGATTGACTTGTTTTCGCCTTAAACTTATCTCGATAATAAAGACTTTGGGTTAGGCAGTATGTATTGGGAATGTGAATACTTATTTACCTTGACTAGTGTTGGCTTTAAGATAGTTACGACGGGTGTATATTTTGACCAGAGTATCCATAGTACTCCAATTTTTGGATAAATTATAAAACATATTTAAAAGGAGTTCGGTAGTTTTCAATTGTGTCATGTTACTGAAGCTTTAAGAGAACGGAATTGTGAAAATAATCATAATGTCCAATTATTGTTTACTATTAACGGAAACTTCTTCAATCATCTCTTCCAGACGTAGCTTTATCTCAGTAAAGACACTTATGGAAAGGATCAGGTTTGAACGCATTATGGTGGGACATTGACTGGAAGATAAGAACCAGAATGGAGACACTGGTAGGTCCATATGATTTCAAAAATATGGTCTTAAGCGGTAGAGTTTTCCATCACAAATCCATGCAGAAGGTTACATGAGTTTTACTGAACCACACTACGGAAAATTAGAATGATCATAGAGGCATAAACAAACAATTCAAAAGGTCTATTGAATGCGTTAGAACAAAGAGAGGAGCTGATGTAGCGTCAGACCATCACATGGTGGTGACCAAATTAAAATTGAAGCTAAAAAAAACATCAGGCAGGAATAAAAATGTTTAATATGGCTCTTCTTCAAGACGCTAACAAGCTCAGTGAATTCGGAATAAATCTCAGCAACAAGTTACAATTCTTACGGGATCTACTAGAAGAACCTACTACGGAGAGCAACTAGAAAAGGATTAGAAAAGCAATAAGTTTAAAATGCCAGATGCTGAGCCGTAAGAAGTACTAGAATAAGGAAGACGCCAGTAGTCAACAACAGCCGAATAAGAGCAGAGAAAGTCAAGGCACAGGCTGAAAACACAGGAGCAAACGAGTCAGAAAGAGCATTAGAACTGACAGGCGGAAATGTATAGAATAGAGAAATGCAATCAAGAAGCTTGGAGGGACCAGAATTATCAGTCAGGAACAAAGAAAGAAAACTAACCACAAAGATTCAGTAGCAGCAAAACAGATGAGTGGAATAATTCGAAGAGATCTTAAATAAACTAGCCCGATTGAACCCACCATACATGCAAGTATCACATACACAACTCACTTAGATAATACTCCACTAACAATGCAAAGCGGCAATGGAATCAACAAATCAAGGATGGAAAAGCAGCAGGAACAGACAGCATGCCAGCTGAAGTAGTGAGGTTAGATAAAGGTATTTGCAAAGATCCAGAAATACAGTTCAGCGAGCAGCAACCAAAACACACTTAGTGGAGAAGCTCTGGAAGAAGTGGGAGTCTACGTACCTGAGTAGCATAATCTATAAACATGGAAGATCTGACGTAGATATTAAAGTATGAATAGAAAAGCAAGGGTAATATTCCTACAACTGAGGTATATTTGGAACTCAAAACAACTGTTACCGGAGATCAAAGCAAGAATTTACAACATTAACGTTAAAACACCTGTATTTTGCGGTAGTGAAACTTGAAGAACTACCGCCACTACCACAAACCAGATGCCAGGTGAAAATGGAATAGAGAAAATATGATGAGGGTGGATAGAAAATACACTTTAGAAACCATTAAGCTCAAGGACAAAGGAATCCATAACTTAAGTTGTTCAAGAGAAAGCAAAGAACACATGACTCCAGGAGTTGGAGGGAGACATTGAGACAACGAATAACACTTGACAACAACTAGAAAGAGGTCAGGATGTGGTGCTTAGAAATTGCCGATCGATGATCTTTGGCTAAAATGGGGTACTAGGCTTAAGTAAAAGAAATTTGCTGGGTACGCTCGGATAACTTCTTCAAGAATTTTGTTAACTTCGTATTTTACCAAGAAATCAAAAGCTTATGAATTACTTAATTAGTGTGATTTGGTAATGAAACGTAGTTTGATATATCAAGCATCCAGTCACGCCAGTCAGCTACACTGCAAGACCAGACACATTTATGCATCGGTCCAAGTTGCTATACCTCACTCACTAACACGAAAAAATGAACATAAAATTCATAGAATTAGTTACTTCAATGATAGTAATGTATAAAAGAAAGATTGTGTACGAGGATATAATACAGGAAGAAAGAATTAGTTCGTAGAAAGATATAAAGCGATTGTAATCTCATGGTTTACGGGAACACAAAGAGCACATACACATACGCCATTGTGATCGACTCTGGGTCATGTCACCCAGAGTCTCCAACCACAGGTTACGATAGTCACGTAGACCTCGTCCAAACAGTATGTATCTACAAACATGGTTGAGACCAGAAGTTAGTGACTTCAAACACTGATGCCACGTTTAAATTTGGCCGCTCCTAACTTTCTTCCAACTGTCCCCAACACTAGTCAGCATTGTGCGTCGTGGTAATCGGTGTTCAGGCATACGTAGCACATGACCCAACAATCTCAGTCGATGAAGATTCACAACCTCATCAACTGATTTACTCATATTCCTTAATACCCTGTGTCTAACCTCACTATTATTTACCCGATGATCCCAGCTAACGCTGGCAATATTCCTAAGACATCTGTGATCAAATACTAGTAACTTACGAGTATCTTCTACCCTTCCTTAATGGCCACATCTCGTAATCGTTAAGTAAAACAGAACGAACTGCTACGCAGTATACTCGTCCTTTAATTAATAGACGGATATCTTGCCTTCGCCATGGGTGACGTAAGTTGGCAAAAGCCAAACGAGCTTTCTGAATCCGTGCTGAAATTTCGTCAGACACCAACCCATTAGGGCTGATCAGACTCCCAAGATAAGTGAAATTACCGACGCGTTCGATTAACATGGTTAATCCCTGTGTCAAATTTGACCACCTTATTGATTCATATCCTGGGTTTTGACTAGCCAATATTAAACGACAATACAGTTACACCAGGATAGTTGACAGAATACTCCCGCGCTAATTACTTTCATGTGTAGGACTGATTATCGATTAAGGATGGTAAGAAATAAAAGGTACGGTGGGTGGTCTACAGTAAGAATAAGTTTTCACAGTAAAGAATGGTGTACTGACCTCGTGGGATAACAGAATCTGTTTCGCCATAGATGACTAAACTCGGTATCGATGTTTTGTGAACATAAATAGCTTGGTGAAGCGAACAACGACTGATAAAAGGAGCAACCAATATTGTGAATTTGATCGGTTCGATATCGTAATCTGTGAAATCTTTGGAAGTAATAAACAAAACACATTTTGTGAGACTATGAGCATAATCCATTTTACCTAATAACGAGTTATAGTTACATTTAGTGAATTAGTTTATAATCCTTAAACTATTAGTACATTAAAATTGATGAAACCGTTGCTCGTGGTCGGTTAGACATAACGCCCTTCTAAATCCACTACTGGTCAGAATTTTTAGTACCAAACGACAGGATAATGTCGCCGACGTATGCAGGATTTTATAATCATCAAAGCGGCAGAAATAAGGAGTACAAATGAATAAAAATTAATAATGATCAAAACCTATTTTATGGAGTCTTAGCTTGCAAAACTAATAAAAGGAAACTAAGGGTTTGGAGGGTGCTCTTTAAGACTGATATTTCTTCTCTTATTAGCATATCCTCAACAAGGATCCGTATACAAGATAAAAACAATCTCTCTCACATACAATAAGACGAAGTAACGGTGAATAGACGAGCTAAGATTAATCATTTACCTGCTAGATGAAATGCGGAAGTAGTGGAACTTTCAGTAAGAAGGCAATCATATCACTAAATAGTTGATAAAAAGTGTATGAAAGACGGATGAAAATGTAGTCATAAATTACGAATGATCAAAAGTGACAATAGACTACCAAGTTTTTGTAACCAGTTTGTGGTCAGGAAGACACGGAGGGAACAATAAACGTAATAAAAATATACCTACAAGGTTTAAGTATAATAGTTGGAGGCATGAGACTAGTCAAAGTATCCCATGGCGGTGCTTGTGGTGCCCTTCAATCTCATGATTATTATCGACATATACATACAGGCTACCCTCGTACATTATCATCGACTTAATTCACGTTAAGTAATAACGGAATAGCATACATCAAATACGAGAATGGATTTCAAATTCGTATATTTCGCACACTCATTGATCCGGACAGACAATCTGAGAAACGTAGTGAATAAGAAGCCAAACGAAATGATGCACAGTGGAGAATGCGAGTGAGTCAACTCGACTTGATATTTATACTCAGACGAAAATAAGTTACAAGCATGTGATGAAGAAGGTAAGCAATGAACACACAGACGATCACATGAAACCAGTTAGGATTAACAAGCAAATAATCAACAAGGTCAAATGTGGCCTTAGAAGAATGACTAAGTTGGTCTGTCCAGAAGCTAGAATAGCTCATGTGATCTTGACATAGTACCAGCCACCATACAGTATAAATCATATGACGAGTATGATGCAAAACATGAATAAGGTGTTTATACAAACTTTATGAGGTGAAAGTAAACGATTATTTTCACAAACCGTACCACTTAATTTATGCTCTATCATAATTTGTAGCAGAAGTAGGAATGCTGCACCTTGGCTGAAACCAAGCATCCCATCGAATGGACCCTGGGAAAATCTAGTACATAAACACTCCAAACCTCTTCTTTAATGTATTTTTTGACAGCCAATAGGGATTCGCGAAAGCCAGCATCATACGTACTACTTTCTTGTGCTAAAAATTCCATAGGTTTAGAAAACCACCAGGCACAACCTTTTTGAAGCAGATCTGGGATATATGCAAATTAAGACTAACCGTTCGAAGAGCATCCGATAACATTTGGGGCGGACATAAATTCTACATAAAAACAAAAGAATGACAAATCCAACTAACTAAATTCACAGAACTTTTTTAGTGATTTTCTCAATCCGCCTGTTTTTTCGCGAAAAACATCCGAGTTTTGCCTGCACAACGAAATAGATTACATTTCATCACAGAGGATACCTGTATCCATGTAGGCACAACACCTATAATTTAGTTTTAAGCAAGCACGGAATACTTACTTTCAAATGTGGCATAACATATCAAATTAGAGGGTCGGTCAGCCAGATGGAAAGCCGCCCGCCGTTCTGTTCTAACAACCTTGAACCACCTGACAAGAGGCGGTCAGTCCGTATTTCAGATTTGTGTAGTAAAAACAGAAGGCCTACAGCCTATGTTATTCCTTTTCTAGTATGCTTCTGTGAGTGTCCAGTCTTCTCTTGAAAGAGTCAATTGAAGGTGCGGACACCACTACTTCAGGCAGCAGGTTCCAAGTATTGATGACTCGGTGTGAAAACCTGTATGCCACGGGAATTTTGTTCGTTCTTGGCTTTTCTACTCCCCTGTTATGTCCTCTGAGGTGTCCCGATCTAGTGGGAAGAGAGAGAATAAGTTTGGTCCGAAATCATGTCTCAGTATTCTGTACATCAATATTAGATCTCCCCTTAGTCTGCGATAGGACAGAGTAAAGAGGTTCAGTTTTTCAAGCCGCTCTTTATATGATAAATCCCAGAGTTCCGGAATTGCACGCGTAGCTGCCCTCTGCACTTTTTCTAGTATGTCTGAGTCACCTTTTAAACAGGGGCTTGCAGCCTGAACACAGTTCTCTAACTTAGTTCTCACTAAGGATGTGTATAATGTGGTGAACATGGTAGTATCAAACTTAGTGAATGTCCTTTTTAAAGCCCAGAGGGTTCGAAACCCCTTAACTGCGACCTCCCGGCAATGGGCTGTCGTCTTAAGATCATTGCTCATTGTCACCCCTAGATCCTTATGAGACCAGACTACGGGTAATGACACATCCCCTATGTTGTATGTATTAACCTTTGAATCCCCTAAGTGCATGTAGATACACTTTTCCGAGTTGACAGGCATCAGTCACTCTTCAGACCAGTTTATCATATTATTTAAGTCCGCCTGAAGAGTAAATGCGTCTTTGTCTCCAGTTAATACTCGCCAAATTTTTACATCGTCAGCGTATAATAACATTGGAGACTGTACTATAATTGTAAGATCATTAACGTACATTATAAAAAGTAAAGGACCTAGGACTGAACCTTGAGGTACCCCACTAAGTACTGGTCCCCAGATGGAGCACTTGGAATTTATTCTTACTTTTTGTCTACGACCTACTAGGAAATCTTTAATCCATTTTAAAAGAGGTCCGGCAATACCAAGGTTTGCCAACTTCAATAGCAGTCTTTTAGTTGGCACCTTGTCAAAAGCCTTACTGAAGTCTATGTAGACAACATCCACTGAGTTTCCGTTGTCCCGCGCATTAATCCAGAACTCCTTAGCTATAAGGAGGTTCGTTGTACAGGATAGACCCTTTCTAAAACCATGTTGTGCCATGTTCAACAAGTTATTGGTTTCCATAAATGCCGTTATGGTCCGTTTGATTATTCTTTCCGGTATTTTAATTACAACACTGGTGAGACTTACGGGTCTGTAATTCGATGGAACTTAAAGCAATTAGTCCCTTTTATAAATTTTGATAGAACAATGAGAAGACGGAGTTGATCTGAAAAATATGATGTATTTGCGCTATACATTTCGATCAATGTAGGAGGTAGAAAACCAAGTTCATCGATAGCAAAACACATAATTGAGACGGGGCACAAGATTAACATTAATACAGCATTTAGAATGTTGTATAGAAATTGTCAAGGTCGAATTCTTAAGTTTATTGAAGCCTTGGCTATTCGTAAATTTAAACCCCCATTATGTGTACAAAAACAATTTGTCGTAACCTTGAATTTACCTTGGTAATCCTTAAGTCATTTTATGGCCTGGGATAACGCGACAATTTATTATTCTTTCTCTCCCCTTAGTTATTTTAATTGTACTTTTATTTGTTTGACCTTTATTAATTTTCATATAAAAATGCCTTGACAAGTATATGTGTGACCAGATTGTTCGATGGAACTTGTCGTGGACCTGTTTTATGTATGGGAGTGACGATTGCGTCCTTCCAGCCCATAGGTAACACACCTTGGTCAAGTGACTTATTGAATATCACAGTCAGTGGAGCCGCGATATATTGGGCTATATGTCTCAAGATTTTGGGGTGTAGTTCATCTGGTCCTGTTGACTTCTCCATAGTTGAACTGCTAAGAGCCTTAAGCACATCGTTTTGGTCGAAGTCCACGGTGAGCAGCTGGTTTGTTGACTCTGTATTTGGGTCTGGTTCTTTCTCTAGAGGAGGTTCCTGAGTGAAAACTGCCCCAAAATAGTCAGCCATAGCCTCTGCTTTTTCCTGATCTTCCTTTATCTTTTCAGATTCACTTCCTACTTTAATTAGGTTGGGAATCCAGTGATGCATCCTTGTTCTGTAGTTTATGTACGAGTATATTCTCTTGGGCTGCTTGAGTGCAGATTGTGCCAGCTGCATTTCATATTTCCTTTGAGCTTCCCGAATTTTCATCATACACTCGTTTCTTATCGATCTGTAGCGCTCCATCGTACCTGCTGTGCCAAGGCGGATGGCAACGTCCCAGCATTTCTTCTTTTGTCTCAGTAAACGTCGAATATCCCGCCATATCCAAGTATGTCCGCGCTTCTTTTTCTTTGGGACAGTTCAGGGTATGTATGGTTGAGTTACCCGATTGTATAACTGCCTGAATAGAGTCCATGCCTCTTGTACTGATGCCTTTGAGTCGATTTCCCAGTTTTCAGCCGATGCTGCGGAGTTAATTGCCTGCATATCTGCCTTCCATATGTTAGGACGGGCCGGCGCAATTGTTTGACAAGCAATCTCAACCATGAATTTGAATAAGATGACTGCATGGTCACGTCTCCCAAGTGGTGGAACAAATGCCGTTTGACCAACGTCATCGCCGTGCCTGAAGACTAAATCTAAAATAGAAGACGAGTTTCTTAAGTCGTATCTTGTGGGATCTCTAATGTGTTGTAATAATGCTAGTCCAATCGAGGTTTCTAACAGTTTGGAGTTGAACGACGATATGGATGACCCTACTTCCAAGTTTACACAGTTTATATATGGTGCATTACAGTCGCCTACTACAAGACATTTACCGTTGTTACACCAGGACTTAAGTTTACTTAGGAGAAAATCATCTGCTACACTTTCTGGACTGCGATAAACGACAACTACTTCAATATCTTGCCTTCGGCATTTCAACTTACATCTCACTAGTTCACATGTCTCTGAAACATGTGCTACTGTCTCAGCTAATCTTATGGTTAGGGTACTTTTCGTGTACACAATAAACCCGCCTTTCCTACGGTTTAATCTATCAGCCCTACTGGCTATGAAACCGGTCAACTGGATTTCACTATCTAATACTTCTGACGTTAACCAAGTTTCCAAGACAGCAATAACGTCTGGGTTTTCTTTATCCACCACTGACTTCAGCTCAGCCATTTTATTTAGTAGGCTGCGAGCATTTGTGTAGCACACTTTTAAGTTTGTGGAGAGCTTTCCCTTGCCACCCAGAGTGACTTGGGGATCGTTTCGCTCCGAACTTTTACAACTTGAAAACCCTTAAGAACAAGGTTTCGCTCCCCGTTTTGGCGACGTTCATTTATCTCAGCTTCTGCAGATCGTCTCTTAATACGATCTGCTAGGCTGAGATCCTCACGGACATATATTCCGTATCCTATCAGTTTACGTGAATTACTTAGAATCAGGTTATTTTCTTCCACCGTATTGAATGTAACCTTCAGGAGGCGGTTTTTCGGAGGACTTTCGGAATCCACCTTTTTTCCTATTCTATAAAGCTTAAAATACTGACACCTGAAACTGTGTCTGGGAGTAGTTTACTTAATGATATCTTAATATGATTGAGATCGTGTTCAAATCTCGCCTTTGGTTCTTTATCTGAAGATTCTCTTATCTTATAGAAAATGACTGATCTCTCAGAGAGATCTGTCTTGTCACGCAGTGAGGATTTTTCTTCTGATAACATCCCTTCCAATGCCTTGCTGACCAGCTGCGTTTTGCCCACAGTCTTTTTCTTCCCATTTTTTTTCGTTACTGAAGTCCATCTGTCGCCACTCAGAACAGCCACACCTGGACTATGTGGAACGGTGACAGTTTTATCCGGATATTCTATTTCGACTAGAGGTGTATGACTGCCGTTGTCAATACCAAGCGGCACTTCATTCCTCTTTAATGTCAACGGAGATTTCACGTTCCCGTCAACCACAGTCAGGTGTTTAACGGGTCCGGTAGCAGCACTTACTACACTGAGACATTCATCTCCGTCAGTGCTCTTGTTATCATTGCTTCCGCCATCGTTTTTCTTGCTGGCCAAAGCCTATAGGCCCATAGCCTCCTGTATTGGTACCTTTTTATCCGTACATCAGAACATACAAAGCCAATGCGAGTTAGGCTTCGAGCATCTTTTGTAAGCAGTCGGACTTAGTCGTGTACACATTTTGTGGTACCACTTTTTACAACCGTCACACTGCATCCCCTCCTCAATGGAGAACAAACAATTTGGTTGCCCACATTTATGAGTCTTACCTACGATTGTAATTCGATTTAAGAGGTTTAACAACAAAAAATGATAACAATGTCAGCACAAGTGTTAGTCAAGGACTAAAGACAGGTACTGAGGACAAAATTTAACAAAAAATTTCAAACTTTAACCAAAGTACTCTTAGTTAAAGTAGACCAAGAATGCTTTTTAGTGCAATACGTACCCAAAGCAAGTATAATCACAACAAGTACAAAAATCACTGCCCTTTTTGAAACTAGCGCGCAATTCGTTGCGAATCAGAAGCTCGGTACTCTTCTGGTAACGACGGATTTCTCGGAGTGCGACAGTCCCAGGTCTGTACCTATATGGCTCCTTCACGCCCCCTGTAGCTGGGGCACTTTTCGCGCAGCCTTGGTGGCTAGCTGCTTTCGAGGAGCCTTACTTCCGGTTGACTTGCGAGCAGTTTGTTCAGTTCGTGCCATTCCGAAACACCGAGAGACGATGACCTTTATTATTATTATTATTATTCACAAACATCTTATGGGTACATAAGTGTTGTGAAGAAACCATTTCGGGTTTCTTCAGAAAATGCAATAATACACAATTTTCAATAATGTTAGCTTATACTCGCCATATTTAAGAAATAAAATAAAATATTAAAAAAAATTT